TTGTATATTTCCATTACTTTTATGACTGCTTGTAAAGATACCAATGTGGAGTGAATTCAAAATGAAAATATTCCTTCCGAAACATATATAAGTATATGATGTTAACCTTCCAATTGATAAATTTCAAATCAGATAGGAAGTAGACGTATTACGAAACAACCGTTTGTTTAAAATACCGCGCCTCACATTACATGTTAAAAGTTCGAAGCCGTCAAACAGGTTTACGATGTTCTGTAATCTAATCGGGCTACTTTCGCTGTCATTTTGTAAATTTTAAACATGGGCGTGTAAAATTAGCCAATTATTTCAGCGTCATTGTTTGCATTACTTACAGGCAGACGGGTCAGTCAGTATAAATTAAATCTCAGTGTTTCTTCTTCAGAAAAGGACTTATAATAACAAAAGTTGCATCCTGCAACTCGACGATTGGAAACATTTAAATCAAATATTTGAAAGACAAAATTTAATTTAATATTTGCTGTAGTTTGTACTACATTCCTGTACAAGTGGTACTTTATTTGTTGGCAATGAAACTGACTGGACAAGTAAAAGCAATTTTCACATTTTTATCAAAATAAGATTTCATTACTCAGGTCATTAAAAATATATTACATTTATAATATAAGTTGTCATTACATTAATCTATTGATTTGGGCTAAAATTATGACGAAAATTTGATGAAGATCAATATTATTATGAATTTTTATTCATGATGAATACTTTTTTCGCACGAGTAATATTTATATCTGGTTACAATTTGGTCAAGCAAATCTATACTATCAAATATTTGGTAATTTATTAATTTTTACTATGTCGCGTATTTTTGATATAGGCCCACGTGTTAAATACATGTAATTTTCTCAAGTTCACAGATAAAAAAGTTTTCCGACATGACGTTCCATCACGCCTTGCAGGCATGATCGCTCCGTGACGGAAAGGCATTTCTAATCCTGTTTCGCGCGAAGAAGTGACGATATGTTCAATATAAACAAAACGGGTCAAAGTAATTTTACAAGCCTAAAATTAAACAATTTGAGCATTTTATTTAAAATTGTTTATGCTCAATGGATTCTAACAATGTACTTTAATGAGAATGAGCTTTACATATTGTATGCTCTGACTGTAGAAGTAAAGTTAGAAGTCAGTTTATATTCATACATTAAACATTAAGACCCGTACTGATTCCAAATTGGAAATACAGGTTAACCGCCGTTTTGAACTCAGAAGTTGAAAAAACGAAACAAAAATATTTTAACCCTTTTTCACACGTGTACTCTATATATTCTATTGACGGTATGAGGCTAATAGCGTGAGCAAAGGATCGTTTGTTCAGTTAAGTTCTCTGACCAACTCCGACATACCATAGTGTATTGAACATACGACTAAAACAATAACATATGAAAGACGTTTATTCGTTTATTTATACTTTAAATTGGCTATAATTTGTGAGTATTAAGTTTTGTTTGCTAATCATGTATGTCAATTTTGATGCAAATGATGAATTCACAATAATTTGATTTTTCTACAAATGTAAATGCTAATAGAATGGGGGGTATTTTATTTTAAATATTGATCATTAACTGATGCAATTATTATTCGAAACTTTCGAGTTTAATTTTGTTTGTTTGTTCACGTGTTTGAGAACAGCCATTGTGTAATTATATATACGAATGTTAGGTGGACAATTATTTACTTTATGTAGTGAGTTTTAAATTTCATTTATGGCTAGAAATACGTATTGTCGATTGATTGCAGTAACACAGATCCCATTAATACCAATAATAATTTTCTTTTGTTTCATTTAAACTAGAAGTATTCTTGTTTTTAAATTTAAGTACAATACCACAAAGTAAAAAGTTTAGTTAAATACAAATACTGTGAACCAAAGCTCCCCGGGCTATGAAATGTGATCGATGGCATTTCTTAGATATACGTGTTAGCTATAATCCAGCCGAGTAAAGGTTAGGTGCGTTTGCTGCATATTTAACTTTTTCGTTCAAATTACATACATCATCAAATAACTGTGACAGCCAGAATATCTAAAAGTAAACTCAACCTTTCTAACAAGCAGTGTCGCCAATGTAACGAGCAAACACTTCAACCACTAATCCATGATTATTTTGCTAACAATTTTAAACAATTTTAAAACAGTCTGAGCAAGATCGCAAACTGAACTTGACTTCGAAGTGTACTAAAAGAGTTTATACAACCCAATCAATGAAAAAAATTTAATTATTTTTAACATCCCGTGTAGACAGATTCAATGAATATATATTATGTTTATTAAAACACGACACAATGGAACTAGTCTGATCTAGAATACGGCACAACATAACATTTTGAGATTTAAGTAATTCATCAGGTATGTAATTCAATTCTCTCTATAATGATTTAATAAAAGAAAGTTTTAATCCTTAACCAAGAGTGAGGAAGTGGTGTTTTGAGAGCAGCTGAAAACAATCTAATTCAGTTCCGACATCTGAAACATCTGAAAAAACTTCTGCGATGATAATTTTAACATAAAAATGTTTGAAAATAATTTGAAGAAATCCACCTTGATTGATTGATCGTTGATTTAATAAGGCGAAAAATGTGTGATTTATTTACAGCAGTTATTAAAATCAACGGAATTTAGAGTGAAATAACTAAATTCAGAGAAACTAGAAAAGTATGAAATAAATATTAATATAGAAAAACACCTACTTTCATCTTCAACACCTGAAATTTTGAAAGCAATTGACCCACAGTAGAAAAAGCAATTTGCAACAATAACAACCAGCACAACAACAACACAAATAGAGAAACTTTAGCAGATCGATTCGATAGTCTTTTTGGTATCCAATAAAATTGTTTCATAATGTTTTCTCTTACATCTCACCCAATGAAAATTTGTGTCTCGTTCAGTATACTTTTCTCATGGCATTTCACAAATGTGTGTCATTATATACTGTAACAAATCTATTTTTGAGTGGGAGTTAGAGTCTACTGAAGAAGCATATTCCTAAAAAAGATAAAGACTTGAATTGTATGATAAATATTTAGTAATGAATTGCATATAAATAGTATCGTAAATGTGTTTATCATTGAGATCATCCAGTTATCAAGCAATGTCGAGAATATCAAACAAAACTTATTGATCCGATTGTGAAAATTTAGTGTCGACGTGAAAATGAATATTTCTGAACAAACTTGTAAACAGATTTCTCAATAAAACCATATATCCAGGCTTGTCCATGGGAATGCCATGAGAAACGTCCCATGGGATGGGATGAGATGGGACAACACTCCCTTGTATTCCACATGGGACACGAATTTTTCTTTTCTCCGTTATGAGAAAAATCGCTTTCCTCTTGAACCATTACTTTTTTTTCTAAATTTTTCATGAATGCTATGAGATCTGACATTTCATCCAAAATTACCGTATACCGTATTATGTTCGGGGAATTGAAGGCAAAACATTTTGCTACGGACTTCGTATTATTGTATCATGTATTTGAGCATAGCTCTCTTGTTAGTGATATATAGTTATGAATTTTTAAAGTTACCAAAGTCAATAAATTTGTCGTTTTTCATGTCTCTTTATATACGTAGTCCCACTTGGTAGACGCTAAACCTAAATTTAGCATTTTTTATTGAAAAGTATTTCCAATGGAAATCCCACGGGATGGGATAGGACAGGCTTAAATTGCCATGGGATGGGACAAAAAATGTGTCCCATGGACAAGCCTACATATATCCTATCACTTCCATGAAGAAATACATGTGTCGTACCTACATGGGCCGTGCGTACACAATCTACGAATACCCTTCCTGGCAAAAGAGTTTGAAAGGTGATACATGTCTTATATTGATATTTATAGAAAAATTTTATGTGGTAAGAAATATCAGCGAAACGGTACCCGTTTGATGCGCGTGAGATGGAAGATTTCTAAGGTTTGGCGACGCGATGGAATGCGATAATTGCGGGAGGAGAATGCTTCGAATAACATATGAAATATTAAATCAGGATACTAAAGTATACATTTCCTTTATTTTTTTTTCGAAAAACTGGAAGCGTGGTATCAAAATACTGCAAAAGCTGGTTCAATTATTTAAAAGAAAAAAGGATGGACTCCTTCAATGGCTTTACGAATATTTGTTTAAAAAAGGCCCCACATTAACCCATCCTATGTTTTTAGTATTTAGACAGTTTTGTAAAGATTTTTAGATAACTTAAAATAACTTATTTTCTTACATAAAATAACTTATCCCCTTACATATTGAACGTTTCTTTAGTGAAATATAACATTTTTACGATCTTTTATACCTATTCCTCACACTATAATCATCAGCGATGCTATGTAGTTTATAATGTAACAACGTCGTTTGTTTAATGGTCATTTCTCGTTAAAATTTACGAACGATTGCTATCAAATTTCATCACTTCCTATTGTTTCCCGTTAAATAAACTAACATTGATATTTCACACTGCACAGTCGACGCGACACCACTAATCCACGATTCTATCGCAATACATCATGATTCAGCAAGTAATTCAGACAAAAGAAAATAATTGAAAAAAAATTATTTGACAAAATCAAATCATGACTATAGGTTGAAAATGTGCGATTCATTCGTTTTGAATGATTCAAGTTATGTTTTTTATATCGAACATTTAAACAGAATATCGTATGCGGTGTGAAAATTTTCAAACGCTGATATTGCTATTCTACTGGAAGTTTGACAAGTTAATGATATCGTGTTCCATAACGTGTAAAATATGATACATCCGCCTAAATGGAGTAAAAAGACGATAGACAAGTATTTTTCTACATTGTATAAAGTCGGTTCAATCTTCTGCTAATCTGTGTCCAAACATGGCGTTCTGAAAATCAAGCAACAGGTTGCAATGGTACCCAGAGAACAACGATCAACCAATCACGCTGCTTTACTGACTTGCCCGTGGGGTATCGTGAAGCCCTTTTAATGCTCGCGTCTCTGTACCTAGGCCATCATTCAAGTTGATCGAGATAGGGCAACATTGCCGTCATCAGCAGATAGTCAGAGCCGGACACATCAATAATTGCGTGAAAGAAGGGGAAGGATACCCTACTCTTTAAAGCATATTTTACAGTATATATACAACTGCCTCCTGCTGCGAGCTGTATTGCTAAACAGCCAGGTTGGGCAACATTTTTTTATAGTGAATAGTGTGTTTTAAACGCTTCCATAACGTTTGTTTCTAGCATCATTCAGTAACTACGATGTATTATACGCATTGCACCGTTTTTTATAGTAAAAGTCATATTAATCTAAACAGTGGTACATATTTTTTTTCTGTTCTACCAACTAATAGCGTTATTAAAAAGATTATCAACATGTAAGGATTGGGCACACGAATCTAGAACTTGGCCCATCAGCAGTACTTGTAGAAGTAATACAGTTTAATTAATAATACAATTTGTTTGTAATAAACTATTCTGTTTTTGCTTCCTTTCTTATGTTTATTCAAGTTTTGATTTTTTTTTATACAGGATGTTAGTGTTGCGATCGGCTCTGATCGCTTTACTTGCCATTGGAGTATATTCACAAGGAGGTAAGAATATTTATAATAATGTTATGAGTTTATATATATTTTTGTTCGGCAAACGGATTGTAAAAATAAAAAATATGTTGGGCATATTAATTTAGATTATTAATAATTTTGATACTATTTAATATACATTACATAAGTAAGCATACCAGGTGATCTTCCAATTTATGTTTACGTTATTTGGGATGACTATCTTAAGACTGGTTCTGACTACCAATTACCCCATTACTTTGATTGTTTATATGTATAGAAATATTGTGATGAATTCTTTGATATTTGTGCCGGACAACAATTCTTTAAACAGATATTTTACCATGTTGATTGGGGTTCAAGATTTTATACTAGAATGCTGTCAAATTGCTTGCGGTGAAAAAATCACGAATTAACAGCTTCTAATTTTTAATTAAAACCGTGTCGTGGTTATAATTTTCCGCCCGAAACTGAGTATTATTTGTTACCGGTTCAGCCAGTCTTACGCGAATCAATTTTACTTTGGCTCTGGAAAGTGTTGTTCAACTTTGAGTAACGTTCTTTATTGGAACAGCGCATACCGTGGCCCCAGGCGCTAGACAAACCAGATTTTTGTCAGTTGTGGTTAATACGAAAGCAGTTTAACGCTTGAACATTTAATTTCAAATATGGATTTACCACGTCTTCATAAAAGCCGCAATAGGTGCCATAACATTGAAATATTAAAACCAACGCTAATTTACATTGTAAATTACTATTTTGCTATTTATCGTGTAATATACAATTCATCCGGCTGTAACAATAATGGATTGACATTTTTACCACTGACAGTTGATGGCATAACTTTTGAATTGATAAATTGCAATATAATTTGAACTGGAAATCCATATTTATATTTCAACTGTGAATATAAGATATTCAATTTAGAATATCGAAATGGAAAATTCATCTTTTTTTTAGGAATAAGATGCTCATTTCCAGTGGACCTTGCAATATTAATGGATTCTTCACAATCAGTTGAAGAAGGCAATTTTGAACTTATGCGTCAATTTGTAGTAAACGTAAGTGATCAGATCAATTTCAGACGATAACTATTTTGCAGATTTAATATTATATTTTTCAATAATTAAGTCAAAGAACGCTAACAGATGTTTTGTGTCTTTCAAACTGCGGGTATTCAGACTTTCAATCAGTCGATCACATTAATTATTTCATTTTATCCACTCTATTTGTACTGAGTGTGTAGAGTTAGATTTAAAAAATCAGTACGCCAGGTTTCGGCCATTTTATGATTTCTTATGTAATAAGCGATCATATAATATTTTTCGAAGGTTGATGATATGTTTTCATGATTCAAATTTATTCATTCCGTTTGTTGCAGATTATCCAACAACTTGATATAAGCCCCGATAAAACAAGAGTTTCCCTTGCTCGTTACAATGCTTGGGTCGATTCTAGGTTCCATTTTGTTACCCATACTACCAAAGCTGACGTACTATCAGCAGTCAGAGAAGTCCCTTACTACGGAAAAAATACCATGACTGCCATGGGTATTTCAGTGCTCGAAAATCAACATCTTCAGGTGAGTCATTCCACTGCGTAGTTAAAATTTATGAATAACTTGCACTGCTTTGAAAATAACAAGTGTATCAATATTTTGCTGAAGTCCTACTTCAAAAGTTTCAGCAATATTTCCTATTTTTGTGTACATCGTACAAGTGTACTGTTGATCAGTGTTGTCTCATTGGTGCTAATCAGTTACAAACCTTGTAGAAGTAAACATACGATTTTACCAGGCATACAATGGATGGCGGGAAAATGATGTACCGACTGTCGGCATCATCATCACAAATGGAAATTCCCAAGATGCAGATGGTATTCTTGCCGCTGCAAGAAGACTCAGATCTAAATGCACAAGAGTCATAGCCGTCGGTGTCGGTGATGCCACGATGGAAGAACTCCAGCAAATTGCTACCCTTCCTTATGAAGATAACGTGATATATGTCGAATCATTTGCTGGTCTTATTGATACCACTCTTCGTATAGTGAACGCGGTGAGAATATTTTTATTACACCAATATTTTGTGCTATCAATAGGCTTCTACAGTTTGACTATAATGAGAGCTATATTTTAGATCTGCGAAGTTAGAACTGACACCAATGAGTGCAAAATTGATAACGGAGGATGTGAAGGTTTCTGCATAAACACATACACTGCGTTCTATTGCGAGTGTGCTACTGGCTATACAGTTGGTGCTGATGGACTCGCATGCGTCGGTAAGATTTTTCTCGAGTGATACAGTTAATTATAATTTACCTTGATACGAAATTATGAACCCAATGCTGAAATCGGTTGCATTCATGCTAAATTATAGTTTTTGCGTGAATTTATGAAATGTATTGGTTATTGATAAAAAAAAATGACATAAACTATTAATATTTGTTTCAAGATGTTAATGAATGTCTTGTTGACAACGGTGGATGCAGCGACCTGTGTGAAAACACTCCAGGATCTTTCAACTGCGCTTGTCCGCCAGGAAAAACCACAACGGATAACAACAAAGCTTGCGGTGGGTTGAATAGGTTCAACACAAAATAACACAGACATTTATCTTGAAACGAATAATAGCATTCTTTCCACACATTCTTTAAAAAGTTACCGTATGTTCATTTTGCTTCCCTATCTCGGGATCAACATTATCAACATTATTTCACAATTTACCTATTACAGTGGACGACAGTTGTTACTTGAACAGCGAGTGTCAACAAGAGTGCAATAATATTGTCGGAGGAGATTTTTACTGCTCATGCTTCCCTGGTTACACTTTGGAAGAAGACGGTCAAAGCTGCGTCGGTTAGTTTTTACTTAAAATTCTCTTGTATATACACCAATCGTATAAATTACACTTTATAGAACATGCTTTATTTGCACCGTTTCGTAACCCTCGTAGTTTTGAGTTTAATTGTTTATTTTTCAATATATTTTGCTTATGATATTGAATATCTTTTTGTCATGGAAGGATTGCTTTCTCCTGAACTCACCAAACTACATTTACTGCTGTATATCGCACGAAGCTTGTAAATATGTAATATAACTTTGTAATTTGTTTTTCCAAATTCTGACAAACTTTTCTGTTTTATAGACATTGACGAATGCTTAATCGGAAATGGCGGATGCGAGTTTGCATGCAACAATACTGACGGTGGATACGAGTGTCTGTGTGATGACGGTTTTGGACTCAGAGAAGATGGTAGAACATGTGGCATCCAGTGCTATGTTTGCGATCGAGCTCTCTCCAATGAGGAATGCAACCAAGTCCAAGTCTGCCCAGTTAATTCGGTAGGATTTTACATTAGTTATAATGTTTATTTATTATATATTCACAAATCAAGAATTACTATGCTAAGAAGTACTTGAAGCATGCCATGTTAATAAAAAAGTATAGAAATTTTAATTAGTAAGAATAAAGTATATTTTATTTTGCAGAGATCTTGCCAAACCCATGTTCGAATTGAACAAGGACTCCGATACATCAGCAAGATGTGTAAGCAAACAGAAGCTTGCGTAAATAACTACATTCAAAATCCAAGAACGGCTTGGTCACCAACTCAGGTATTTATTAATATATTAATGCTATTATAGTTTATCTACACATTCTATAATATTAGAAAAATTTAGATATTTGCTATGGTGCTTAAAATATCTCTTAAGAATATTCGAAGTCCAACATTTTCTAATCATATTACAACTGAGATAGATTTATTTAAAATCATCAAAAATTTATATTAATGGCAAATAATTTGATTATTCAATCAAAACATGCAATTTTCATTTCGATAAAGCAGTGGAAATTAAATGAAAAGTTAAAGCCAGTTCAAATGGTACGATTTTATGAAAAACAGATTTTGTGGGCTAAATGAGGTAAAACTCTTTACAGTGCTTTTACTATTAGTTTACATCAATCCAATTTAGGATTTGTTCTTTTAATTATCTGCGCATATTAATTATATTTATTCTATTGTAGTTGTTGATAATATATTTCAAGTAATATTTGTATTTTCAGTGTAACAACGATGAGTTTAATACTGTGTCAGTGTGCCGATGTTGCTGCCATCGATCATTCTGTAACTCAGAAGCCGACTGTTCACGAGATGACATCATTGACATCATGTGCGAAGATCCAGCGTTGTTCGAAATTCCTGATGGTCTTGCGATTGATTGCGAAGGAAATCGACTTGGACAAAAATGTGCCCTCAACTGCCCCATCGGATTTCAGCCATCTACCGGAAGCACTGAACTAGTCTGCACCCACAAGCCGCGTAGCGTCGAGGGATACTGGCTCGGAGAAATCGGACCTTGCGTTGGTAAGAAATTTCCCACATATTTTACTTGCAGCTTTCTCAAAAATCTGTCATTCGCCACCACTCGCGTTTTCAAAGTGACACACATCAAAAAACGAGCTAGATAGACGATTATATAAGATATAGTATAAAACGTTCCATTTTACCATAAATACTACAGCAGGTCCGTATAAATAAAATTACCGTTCATTGTACAAATAATTTTCCTTCTTAGATATTGATGAATGCGCATTGAACAACGGTGGATGCTCTCACTTCTGTACCAACAGTGAAGGAGGATACGAATGCAGTTGTCCGTCACCATACAGTTGCGCTGAAGCTCCTTTGGATGTCTTATTCATTCTTGACTCTTCCTCGTCGGTAAAAGAACCAAACTTCCAACTAGTACGTGAGTTTGTCGCACGTGTTGTCAACCCCCTCACTATAGGACCAGATGCAGTCAGAGTCGCCGCAATGAGATACAACCGATTCAACATTCCAGAATTTACGTTTTCTGAAGTGCAGAACAACACAGACCTTGCCGAAAGAATTTCAGTGAGTGGCATCTATAGTTATCTACATACTCAATAGAGATATACTTTGAAAATTCTAGACCGACATGTTTAATCAGGTATAATCCTATATTTTCTGTTTTAGGCAATCCCATACGACGGACGTGGTACTCGCACCGCATCCGCTATTGAATTTGCGATTTCCGAAATGATCATGAATCCCGATTCTGGACGCAGACTTGGAGTACCACTCGTCACGATCATCCTCACAGACGGGCGCTCAAAAGATAGCGAAGCCCTTCCCAACGCAGCTAAGAGACTACATGAAGTATCAAACAGAGTGTTTGCTGTTGGTGTCAGTACGTATCAAAGTATTATTTACCACATATTCGATATGAACTTATCGGAAAGTCAAATTCATATATATTCGAATTATCCCAAACTGCCTGTCTATTTTATATCATCGGTAGTTGTAGCATACAATGTTACTCAAAGCTTAATAATTTGTAATATATCAATTACGGCTCTTTTTAATTTGACACATATTAGCCGGCGTCTAAAATTGCTGTATATTTACAGCACCAAGAGTTAATGAAGACGAACTTCTCACCATCGCTGACGGAGAAACTACAAACTACAGGGCTGTCGAAACATTTGCTGACCTCGACGATGATTTGGTCAACCTTGTTTCAGACAAACTTTGCACAGACGCCGAAGGATTCCATGAACTCCAGGTATAAAAACCACATCTTTCGCAGTCGTATTCATACGTTTTTATTAGAAGTTTTAAAGAAATGGAAACAATTAGTGAAATACATTTTCTGAGAATCTGCAAAACAGCATTATATAAGGGTACACTCATACGTGGACATATTCGTATGATATTATTTCTATTAAGTTTCAAAGGTATTCGACGAAAATGTTTGCCTATTTATGGCGCTATGAATTTGATATTTCTATGTTTAAAAATATTTCTCTACGTTTTAGGACGATCTCCTTAATTGCGACATTGACGAATGCGCCATCGCCAACGGTGGATGCTCAAACTCTTGTAACAACACAATCGGCTCCTACTTCTGTTCATGTCCCCCAGGAGATGCACTCGCCGAAGATGGAAAAACATGCGGTGAGTGAGGTTTTGTCGGATATATTGGAAATAAAAAACGAACTCTTTTGGGCGTTCAATGAAGTGCTTAAAAATTTATTAGTAACAATAATCTGAATAGAAAGATGATATATTTTCGATTTGATTCGGTTTTGAGGAGCTATTTTGTAAACCCAAAAACCTGCGATATTATTAGCACCATGTTCTAATTTTAATATATTATTACAGTGTTCGACGTCTGTGGAGTTGACAACGGAAACTGTGAATTCCGATGTGCTCTCTTCTTCAGTGGCCACAGATGTATGTGTCCTAACACCAGACAAGTAAGAATAAAATTTGAATTTTCTTGTTTAATTCTCATTAGTTTAAGTTTTTTGAATAAGTTATTCGAAAAACTTTAATTTTTATTACTTTTTGCAGTACAAAAAAAATATAAAGCTTACCAATCCCATATTGGAATACCGATTTTGAAGTTATTGGCATATCGTTAACTGTTTTATTCTGTTATTAATAAAGTAGAATAAAAATACAAACAATTCGATTCTTTTATATTTTGCAATTCCGTTTCTAAATTTACATTTCGTTTTTCTAGTGGGTTAACAACGTTTGTGAAAATTATAACGAATGCGACGACGATAATGGCGGATGTTCAGATATTTGCGAAGATCTTGACGATGGATACAGGTGCGCCTGCCCAGCTGGCATGACACTCACCCAGGACGGACTCAACTGTGGTGAGATACCATATTTTTTATTTTACATGTATACTCAGCATCAGATGAGTACAATATAGCAGACCTTTGTATTGAGTGCAAATGATGTAAAATTAACTCTTTTCACTTATAAATTAGAACAACTTCATAATTTCACTATATGTTATATATAACTTATGCGCACATTACTAAAATTTCCATATCCATGTATATATATATACGAGGAAGTGCCAAATTCCGTATTTTATCAAAATTGACATTGCTATACCTTTTGTACAGACACGTAGTTTTCTTTGTAGTGACAACGCAAGGCGAAATTGCGTATTTACATTTTTTTGTTTCACAATCAGTAAACGGAAAACGTATGCCGTATAAAAGTATAGAACATTTTATCGCAAATTTCTAAACCAATTTTTAAAATTTATTTTAAACCGATGTCGACTTTACCTAGGGCTATGTCGTGCCAGTATGTGTGAAGAACACACGTATTGAATTGTGTTTTTTTCTATGTTGTAAGACCAACCGCGATTTTTTTTACTTCTATTGAAGAATTGATATTACGCTGCAGGCTATGCGGACCGTGTTGAAAAACGGGTTTATCAGACAAGATGTTCTCGCCTCAAGCAAACCCGATTTTCATGTAAAGATTGATTTGAAAAGCGAAAAACGTCGGAATGCCGGTTTTCCCAGTAAAGCGGGAAAACAAGTTGTAAATGCGATCAGCAATTACATTCGATGTCGCGTTGTGCCTGTCTCTTTATTTTAAATTAAATATTTAATACCTTACGATTTGCCTAACGGCACATAAAAAAATAATTACATACTTATTTATAATAATTCACGTTTAAAATTAGTCTTACGGATTATCTATATAGTAAATTACTATTGATGTAGCCCGTCACATATGATTCAATGAAGACCTAATTGTAGCAAAATATCGATCTGTGACTGTAGCTTATGGTGTACTTCTTATATATACTTCAATCGTATGACTGTTGCAACAGAACCTTCAGCAATTCCATATAATTGCCAATAAACAGTCTTCCTACACTCGCTATTGTATATTCAAATAAATCAACTTGAACTCAACTGCTTACCCACATCACTTCATTTGTTATATTATTTGTCACCTAAATTACAAAATACTGAACTAAAATATTGTTATTAACGTTCAATAAAAATTGAGTTGAATCACTGGTATTATGGCCCCATGGTATTATCTATTGCCATAATAATTTAAGTGTGTATGATTCAATTAAAAGTACGGAAGATGACTAACGTCAGCCCCAATCACCAAAACAAGGACTTATATTTATGCTTTTCTGTTTCAGAAATTGATAGCTGTGCTGAACAGAATTGGCCTTTTGTCTGTTCACAAATTTGTCAAAACGTTCCAGGAGGTTCATACCAGTGCATGTGCCAGGAAGGTTATTTGATGGAAGATGATGGTCATAATTGTACAGGTACATATTTGAAAATTAGTACATAATTGAAGGCGTGACAACATAAAACATGATGCAACTGTTTAAGGTAGAGACATTGATTTGAAATCTCGAATTATGGGGACAGATAATTCAATGCTTGTAATTTAGTGTGTATTGAGTGATATTGAAGAGGTAAAGCATCGAAAGAAACATAACAATTTTGCATACAACATTCAATTTTCAACAGAAATCAACGAATGTGAGTTTGGTAACGGTGGATGTGAAGACGTTTGCGTCAACACAGAAGGTTCATACAGATGCGAATGTCCACCTAACATGGAACTCCGTCCCGATGGCAAAACTTGTGGTATTCAGTGTTATGAATGCGTCAACGTCCTGAATCCAGATCTCGAATGTGAGCCCGTTGTTTGCCAGAAATCTGCTGATGCTTGCTTTACAACTCACAGAACGCGCGATAACGTCACTACCACTACAAAGGGATGCAAACAAACAATGGCCTGTATTAATAACATGATTCAGGTAAACGGTGAATTAGGTTATGACTCCATCTACTCTAATTTCTTATATTATATTAAGCAATTGGTTTGAAACAGACTATAAATAAAACAGTTTTACCGTGAACGAACATTTTCCGACAGAAAATTCTAATATAAGTAGCATGCTTGGCAGATTTGTTTATTGCATCTTCTTTATACGTGGTTTTTAGAATCCAGCTGCTTCGGGAGAAGGACCCTCTCAGTGCAATATCAATGATCATAATTCGAAATGCGAATGCTGCTGTATGTACTCGCTCTGTAACGAAGAAGACTGTCCATACAGCAACTTCACTCGTAAGTAATATTGCGTTATATATGCACGTATGCTTTTAATATCACAAATCTAAAAACAATTTTTTTCATTACAGTACCATCATGCCCAAGCTTCGAAAAAGCTTTCGTTACTTTTACTGGACTCCAGACTGACGGTACCGTACTTGCTGGAGGAATAGCTCGTGTTGATTGCGGTCAAGGTTACGTAATGGCAGGGACAGCCGTTTCCGACGACACTGTCGAAACCTCAGTAACAGTTACACATATTCAGTGCGCCTACAACTTTATCAACGGAACCGCAGAATGGGATGGTGACTTCAGAGATTTGGACAGTTGTGTTGGTACGTAACAACCATATTCATTCAATCTGTATGATACAATTGAGAAAACGATGAAGCTAATTCTTGAGGAAAACATTATATAATGGCATTTAGTTGCAACGACAATGTATGAAATGAATATAGTAATTTTTGCGTTTTTTCCACACATTTTTGTGTAACTGCATTGACAATTTCATATAAATTAAATCCAACTTGTTGGTATCCAACATCCAAGGTCGATTATGAATAGCCTATGTGAATAAAATGATTAGGAGCTGTAAAATCCATTAAAAAGTACTAATTCATTATAATCATATACGATGTATTTAGATATTGACGAATGTGACACTGACAACAACGGTGGATGCCAAGCACCAGCTTTCTGCGTCAATCTACCAGGAAGTTACGAATGCAGATGCCCAGAGGAGCCAGGAGATTACGTTCTAGTTGAAGGATTCATTTGTGAAAGGTTAGTTATCAATATATACAAAATAAACTCTTAAGTTTTCATTAAGATTACCTGATAATATAGCGCGGACAAGATGCATGTATTTTAGCCGATAGAAAATTTCGATTGCCGATTGTGAGCTGATATTCCGTACAGCATTTAATATTTGTAAAAAATTTTTAAAGAGATGAATGCGCTGATGCCGACCAAGGTGGATGTTCCGACAATTGTACAAACACCATCGGTAGCTTCTATTGCTCTTGTCCATCAGGAATGTCCATCGTCGGAGAAGAAGGACTCGTATGCGGTAAGTGTGTTGAAATTGTTTGTGTTAAATAATTTAGAGTAAATTTTTTGTTTTGAATTCGACTTACACTTTGATTACTGGTGGAGGCAAAATTGTGAATTATTTTTTTTTTTTGCATTTTGCTGACCTTTACATTAGATATTGATAGTGATTTATATTTCTAGATCCTGACGAATGCATGGATGCCAACGGCGGATGCCATCAGCTCTGTGTTAACTTGCTTGGCTCATACGAATGCAGATGTCACGCCGAAGGATACAGAATTGGAGACGACGGGCAAACTTGCGTTGGTGAGTTTTCGGTTTATCTTGATAAAAATTTCCCAAAAATTGTCTTTTTACCAAGTAATAATTTCCGCGACGTCATGTTGCAGATACCTTAAGTTGTTTACTTATCATTATTGACTTTAAGTGCTTCACGTCAATGAGATTTCTTGTTTTTTTAATTAATGTTGGTTATTCATTTAATTTTTAAGACGTAAATGAATGTTTGGAAGATAATGGCGGCTGTGAGGCCAACTGCACCAATCTCGACCCAGGATACGAATGTTCTTGCGGCGTGGGATTCATGCTTATGCCAGACGGCTTCGGATGTAGACCTGATCCATGTTACATCGATAATGGTGGATGTTTCCAAATCTGCACCGTTTTGGAAGAAGGCCACATCTGCGAATGTAACCCTGGCTATGAACTTCTGGATGATGGTACATGCGTCGACATTGATGAATGCGCCGAAGGTATCGCAAACTGCCAATATAATTGTACCAACTTTGATGGAGGATACACTTGCGAATGCCCAGCTGGAGAGGCACTGAGAAACGATGGGCGCACATGTGGTAAGTACAAGAAATGCACCAGTTTCAAATTTTGCTGGAAATTTCTTCCAATCTTCCAATTAGACCTGTTGCAAACACGATATTTGCATAACTTATTCTATTATTTTAGGACGTGCCTGTTACGTTTGTAATGGAGCTTCTACAAATGAAGAATGCAATGTAGATTTTGAAGTCTGTCCAATGGATGCAGATGCTTGCGAAAACGAAGTCCGTATGCACGGTGGACGTAAAGCTATTTTTAAGAGATGCAAACAAGCTCATGCGTGTAACAACAATCATATCCAGGTTTCATTGCATTATTTATTGACTCGCCGTCGTTTTTTCCGGTCATATTTGATTTGACCTCATTTAGATAACTGGCTGATTTTATTAAGTTTTTCAAAAATCTATGATTTATGATGAGTTTTGTTCAGATGGACATTTCCAAGATGGAACGAATCTCCCGCTTTCTATGTCATTCAGTCAATTACCAATTTTATTTTTGTTTTATAACCAGAACCCTCGCGACGCTTGGACACCTGACCAATGCAATGCAGGAGATGCAAATGATGTATGCAGATGTTGTTGTACTGGACACCTTTGTAACTTCAACGAAAAACCATGCAGAGTTACATATGATTGTGGTCTTAAACAGGTGCGATATGGTTTTTGTGTTCATTGTCTAAAATTCGTTATAAGTTTTCACTAAAGTTTCATCTTATAGTCATTTCTCCAAAATGTGGTGTTTTGGGCTACTCGATGAAATATTGAATTTTTTTTTCTAGGCTGACGTTATTGTATTGTTGGACTCCTCAAGCTCGGTTAAATTCAATGACTTCCAAAAAATGAAGAGTTTCGCTCAGGATATATTCTCCAGCTACGATATCGGCCAAGATACAGTTAGAGCTGCCCTCGTTCGATACAATCGTGAAGTAGACCCTAGATTCCATTTGAAAGACTTTGAAACACTTGATGGTGTACTTGATGCTGTTGATAACACAATGCATAGTGGTCGTGGTACGTTGACTGGTCAGGCACTTCAACATGTCTTGGACAACGAATTGACGGAAGAGAATGGCGCCAGAGCTGATGTACCTAAGATTGTCATTACTGTTACCGATGGTAAATCGAAGGTACGTATCATAGTGATTGATGCTTTATAGGTCATTAGAAAAGAACAGATTAAATTCCTATCCATTCGTTGTCACATTTGAGTCGCGTTCAAGAAACATTTGTTCTCACAAGTTGTCTTTATTATGTATAATTTTTAAATCTGACATTTTTCTTATGCAGGATGATGTGAGCGGTCCATCCCAAGCTCTCCGTGCTGCTGGTGTAAGAACAATTGGTGTTGGAATCGGTGCTAGAGTAGATGTTTCTGAATTGGAAATGATCGCTGGTTCTCCAGAAAGCGCAATTTTTTCAGAGTCTTTTGATGACGTTTTCGCCAAAATGGAAGCACTCAGATTTGAGATCTGCAGAGGTATCTTGCATTTCACTTATGTTGTCGGTACTGATATAACGTCAGGCTTTAGCGAATAGTTTTTGTAGAAGCGTATACTTGACAAATATTTTCATAACTAATAAAATGTCAATTTTCTTTTTGTAAAGTACTTGTGATTTCTTGTCAGAATATTGCTCTAAACTCTCTAGCATTTCCAATATTATTCATGATTCAGATACGGACGAATGCTTAAACGCAAACGGTGGGTGTTCTGATGGGTGTGTCAACACAGCAGGCTCATACTACTGTACCTGCCCAGAAGGCCTATTCTTACAAGCTGATGCTCGAACATGTGGAGCAGGTTGGTTTTAGAATTGTATGCCATGGTTTGGTAGCTTTCAGCTGAATTCTGTCATCGTGGTTTCTGTCAAGTTTCACTCAATGCTAGTACTGTTTTCGAACAGACCATTTGGAAATATATTAAACAAGGCTGAATATTATTTGTCAATATCTCATTTTCTAAGTTCATTACATTAGTTAGATAAACAGACCCAAATGTCATTATCTGTAGTTTATGCAACTGAGTGAACAAAGTGCAAATAAAAATCGTGAATATATCTACAAGTAATGTATTTATCTTAATAATAAGATCATGTGATTAGTATCAAAATTTGCTGAACAAATAAGTATCTTATATTTATCAACAATATGCTGACACACAAAACTCATACATTATAGGTTTTGAAGGACAGGTCACAGGAGCATTTGATGAATGTGCTAATGACAATGGTGGATGCGACCACATTTGCACCGACACTTTTGAAGGATTTAATTGTTCTTGCCGAGAGGGATACGCGCTTCGTGACGATTTGTCTAGCTGTTCAGGTGAATAATATGAATAATGAAAAAATGTGATTTGTACCCGTGAGCATAGTAATTATAATTATTTTAAATTTATGAAATTTGTAATGAAAATCGGCATATTAAAGTAGTGAAATGCGGTGCAACATTTATAAACCCTCCATTTTTTAAACGCAAATTACTGTACAACATAAAATTGATTTTTGTGATTATCGGCTAGTGATTTTTTAGACCATACAATTGTAAAAAGTAATCTTTTTTGAGTAGTGATGCTTAGTTACATATATGCCTAATTTTTTTTAGAAATCGACGAATGTAATATTGAGGAATTGAACCTCTGTTCTCATTCTTGCATCAACACACTCGGCGCATATTTCTGCGAATGCCCAGAAGATCACGAACTCGCTGATGATTTGGCTACGTGCAACCCAAGACCAGGACGTAAGATAATTTTCATCAATAAAAATTCTAATTTCTGTTACGTATTCATTGCCATGCTCTTCGTACTTATAAATACGACGACGTTTATGGTACTGCATTCGATGTGACTTGACACACCTGAAATAAGTAGCATAATAAATGATAAAAATTAGAAATTAGTCACGACTCATGTTATTCATTTTCTTTAGCTGCTGATTGCCCTGTTGGATTCCAATCCATAGCTGGAAGTTGCGTTCAAGTTTTAGAAGACATGCTGAGTTACTCGCGCGCTGAATCGACCTGTACATCACTTGGAGCGAGACTCGCTACTGTTCGAGATGAGGGCGTATGGAATCTCTACAAAAGGCTTTTTAGTAGTGTCGAAGGAGATCTTTGGGTTGGTCTCAACGACAGAGACGAAGGTGGTACATGGAGAAACTCGGATGGAACCGACTTTGACTTCGGACAGATCTGGGCACCAGAACAACCAAGTAAATAAATCAATTTATTGAAATTGAAGTGTAACTGAATAACTATTCTCAAACGTGTCAAACCACCAAAAATTACGGTTTTGTGTTTTTAACTAACGATTCTTACGTTTTTATGTCATGGATAAGTAAATATCTTAAAAAATGATTAGATGAATGTACCCGAAACTTTGCATAATAACTTGATATTCTACACTCTTCAATTTCACTACAATTAAACCTTGGTAAATCAAATAACCGCCTTTATGATGTCACTAGTTACGTGCTCAATCACATCACAAGTACAAGAGGTTGGAGCAAACGTAAAATAAAAACAAAAATGCATGTGCATCGATTTGTGAACATGCGTTTAGCCAAATAGATTGTTTTTACTGTCATGTTTATAACATATATATTTTAATTTAGGTGTCGGAAAATGTGGCGCCCTTGAACGGAAGAGCGATTTCAGACTAGCAACACGTGCTTGTGCTGAGCAATACAGAGCTATTTGCGAAATACGTAAGTCCACTTCGTATTTGTCTTTCATACATACAACTACAATAAAATAATATGTATATGACAGAAGCTGATATTTGTTAAACTGCTATTCAATTATATTTATGTACTGCTGATTTTATACTGTGAGTGTTGCAATTATACTTTGTTGATATTGATGTACCAATGCTTTACAGCACGAGAGGGCGGATTCATCGTATATTCCCGAAGCTGGCCAAATGGTGCACAAGGCAGTTTATACTTCCCGTATGGAGCTGAAGCAGTTCAAGTAGAGTTCCCAGGGGACGTTAAATCTCTTAATGTAAGTACACAGCAATTAAAAAAGAGCGTGTTTTTTTATGAAATTTATAACATAATCCAAATAATTTTAATTTTAGGTATGGTTCGGTTCAGTAGCTGAAAGAATGGGCAGAAATACCTACATTATCACCCAAAATCCAGTTCAAAGAGCAGGTGGTAATGGAGAAGCACAATTCGTTATTGACATGGGAAGAGTAAGATACCCAGGTTACAATGCGGTAGTAACACGATACGTGGAGCCAAGTGTTGAAGGAGGGGTGGTAACCGGGGGAGTAGTTACAGGACCGAGTGGAGGAATCGCAACAGGCACTGGTGGCATTCGTACCGTAACTACCGTCACTGGAGGAACAGGCGGTGGTGGATCTACGGGAAGTACTACCTTCACAAGTGGAGGAACGGGAGGTACTACCGTCATAAGAGGAGGAACAGGCGGTGGTGGATCTACGGGAAGTACTACCTTCACAAGTGGAGGAACGGGAGGTACTACTACCTTCACAAGTGGAGGAGCGGGAGGTACTACCTTCATAAGAGGAGGAACAAGCGGTGGTGGATCTACGGGAGGTACTACCTTCACAAGTGGAGGAACGGGAGGTACTACTACCTTCACAAGTGGAGGAACGGGAGGTACTACCTTCATAAGAGGAGGAACAAGCGGTGGTGGATCTACGGGAGGTACTACCTTCACAAGTGGAGGAGGGAGAGGTACTACTACCTTCACAAGTGGAGGAACGGGAGGTACTACCTTCAGAAGTGGAGGAACAGGCGGTGGTAGATTTACGGAAACCTTTACCACCGGTAATGGAGGAGGAACAGGAGGTTTTTCCTTCACTGGAGGAGCAGGTAATGGTGGAGGATCAAGTTTTAGTACTGGTGAATTCGTCTCCAGCGGTGGATCCACCGGTGGATTTAGAACCGGTGAGTTTACCAGCGGATCTTCAGGAGTCACTCGTACTTTCTCCAGTAGTAGCGGCGGCATGGGCGGCAGTAGCGGCGGCATGAGCGGCACTAGCGGCGGCATGACCCATGGTACAACCGGTTAAGCAAATATCACTTTAAATAGGACAATATTTTCTGTTAACAATATGTCAAGGATCGTGGGATCTGTATAGTGCATAATGTGGTGCCATGTATTGCATATTGTTTGTAATTTTATTATAGTTTATCCACAATTCAGAAATTTATACTTCATTCGTTTCGTTATAACGCAAGTTCGTTTTTTTGCTTAGCCGTTACACAAAAAAAACAATGATCTGCACGAGACTCTTTTATGGCCATTTGGAATAAAGAATAAATTTGGATTACAAAAATGTGTTTTTGATTAGAAATCATTTTTTTTACGTAGAACGTTGATGTCAAAAGTTAAAATACAAGAAAAATATTTTATTTCATTGTAATGTATTTGTACGTATATATATATACTTGGTATCGATGAGACCCATTTAACAAGTGTTACAGTTATTTGAAATTGATTCATTCGCACTAGTCAGTTTGCAGCAGCAATTTGAATAAAGGATTCTATAACTGAACTGTTGTCTCCCTATTCATCGCTGATGATACTTGATTTTCGCTTACCACAAAATACATTGCCTGATTATGAATCGATGACGTTGTTGAACACTGGTACATCTTCGACGTCATTTACGCATTTGACGTAATTTACATATTTAAAATTGTCGGAATAGTTTCGCATATAAATAAAAATCCTATGTTGTAATAAGTTTTAAAATAAAATTTGGGTTGATCTATATACTTGCTATATATAAATTCGCTTTGAGGAAGTATGCAGTGGTGAACATCACCAGGGTACTTTTTAGATTCGGTCGTTCTTGCTACGTGATATAGGGATATTAGACAGGAAAACGCAAATTTCAGTGATTTAATTTTTTTCAATATTATGGACTATTTCATAACATACTTGGCGTCTACCCGTCACTAGTCATACGTCAAATGTAGCTGAGTAAATTAAAAGTAGCTAAGCAAATTCACTGTGTTCGCTCAGGTTATTGGGAAAGGAACATATGAAAAGTACCTATTATATATGTTCTGTTACAAGAGGTTCATCAGCCATCGTTTAGTTAGGTGGTTCCTGAACTTTTTTACCGTCGCTCCTCACAGTACCTTTACATTATCCTCGTCCCAGACAATACAATAAAACGTAAAGTTACAAATTAATTTATTACAAATCAATTAAAAAAGTTGTTTTTTCATGGTGTTCTAACAAGATGGATGCATTTTTTTGATAATTGAAAAATATCAGTTCAGATGCAATCTCATATCATCCCATTTGCCGAAATAAAGGCGATTTCTTTGATTAGAAGATAAAAGATAAGCGGTTCATCGCATTCAAAAATGCCAGATGACTTGCACCAAACTATATACTCAATGAATTTCCTTTTGGATTCTTCATCATTTTGCAGTGAATGTGCACATCTGCAGGAATATAGATATCGGGTGTACAAAAATAGTTGGTTTTCTTGAAATTCAAAATTGGAATTTATAATTTTAACTTGAATTGTGGTAATTTTGGGGTTACCTGCTTTTAATGTATATACTATGATATCTTCGCAGGTTTCAGTCTGTGATACAGAGACTAAACTGATTAATGCGAAATATGTGACCATACTGGTTTAATTATGTTCAAAGTAACTGAACGTTGATTCCGACTTACGAGAAAATAAATGCATCATTATTATTTTTTTTTATCTGAGGATATTGTCAGATTTGAGCTGTTCTTGCAACATTGACTGCCACTTAAGATTATTTTCAGGATATCACCGTTCGAGAAATCTCGATGTCGGCAATAAAATATGTTTGAACATATCTTCATCATCATCGCAACAAAAAAGGGCGCTCCCGAAGTATGTGCACCGAGATCGCGCACAACTTAAACCCTAACCTGGTACGCACTATATTCAGGTAGTGCGCAATCTTGGTGCACATACTTCTTTAGGTCCCAAAAAGGTGGGTAGGGGTTCTAAAAACGAAAATTATCTGGCTGCGCCATTGAATAAGAGTGACTAACGAATTGAAAACTATGCCCTACTGACAGAAAGGATTCCAGCAAGTTGTTAAGCGGCCTCCTTGCTTCCCCCGCTCAAAAATAAATGTGGGCATACTGAATATTAAAAATATGTCGAACGTCATCAATAGCTGAAGCCCCTGCTCAAAATTAGAAATGAAGATGCGGCGCAGTGAAAATTGAGCAAAACGAATAGGCACACCTCGCGAAGTAGAACTGTTCCGTTATGCTCTACTTCCAATGAAAGCGCTTGAAAGATGAATGCTTCTGCACATAAACGAATCAAGTTTCGTGAAAATTCTAACTTTTCGAGAATGCTCAATGGGCCCTTCGGATTTCCCGCCCACTGGGGTTCATATCGCTCACCTTGAGAATCCCCGGTTAACTCACTTACAGAACCCACAAAAATTCAATTTATGTTTGTGTGTTTGCGCAATTGTGGTCGGATAACAAAATGATAGTTTGAAAATATCTCCCTATATATAAATTGAACCACAAATCACATTAGCTACTGGAGATACTTGGGTCGTGTTTTTGAATAACACACACGACTCCCATCTTCCGTAGACAGTAACTTTGCTTTAATCTTGCGACAGATCACATGTAGGAGGTTGAAAACATAAGAATAAGTTGCATTCATTTCAAGGAAATAGCATGATATTTCTTTTCAACTGAAATATATTCAGGGTTAGCTCGGAATGCTTCTTCAGCTCTGATGTTTCTTGAAAAGACATTTATTGTCACAATATATATAATTATTCTTTATTATAACACCAAGTGTGTCAACTAATACTTATTTGTCGTAGCTTACCTGATTTTATTCTATCAATTATCATCATCCAACATTTCACATTGTAACCACGTCAATCATCACCATCAAAATTCCCTGAACTATTTTTCAGAACAGCACTTTTGCTTCAAATAATCCAGATTAAGTGGGGATTCCACCGATATTCGTTAGTTGTATAGCTTTAATATAATCTCTAGTATGCTAACTATCTATCTTGAGTGAGCGATGTTCGATAATTCGCAAAATTTATACAGTACTTATCGTCAATAACTGCAGTTTTCAAACTCTGAAGATCCCAATTTTTTAAATTATTAGAATAGATTAGAACCTTGAGTGTCGCTGCTCGATAACCAGTTTTGGTTCCCCCACAGACCACAGCCCTCATTCTACTAGATGAAAAAATAAAAATAAAACTTGACTTGACATATCGCCCAAAACAGTGTTCTTTTTCTTCTGATAATGTGAACTGTCCCTCAGATGAGCAAAATTCCCCAAATTGGCTTCTAATCCAGTCATAATGGTCAACAGATATCGATGAGAAATATTTGTCAAGATTTAATAACAATGTTTCCAATTATTAGTGTAATTTCTGAACAATTAGTTTCAAGAGTATTTGAAAAAAAATTCTCAATATAATGGCTTTCTTTTAAAAAGCATCTATTTTGTCATTGGATGACAGAATGTTCCAGTTACTGCCCAGGATGCCACTATTCAAAAGATTCAGTACTGATAACTTGGAACAAAAATGATCGCCACTCAAATATTCTACGAATCCGTGACGTAATGGAAAAGCTAATATAGCCTACACTCCTACACGATTCCGACTGCGCTACAACAATGTGCGCTCATCATAAGTAGATCTTGTATTTTCTTGCCAAACGATGTTTTAATGACGTCATTAGGTTACCGTATGAAACCAAAATACGTCCAATTTGGAAATTTTTGTACGTCAATACGAAAAAACACGATTTTTACTACGACGCGTCCGCAATGTCGTTTCCGCAATTGGCAGAGATGGCACTCGTGAATACAATGTGGTACATTTGGTAGGACTTTAGTAGTCGAGATAATAAAATCATTCATTTCTTAATTTTAATGCTTGGAGTTGGGGATTAGCTTCGCTCTGATGGAAGTTTGTAGCTTTGAGCAGAAATCTCAATTATATTTAGCCAATACAAACTTGTTCATATATGGCCTACATTAATAAGGATACCTAGGTATTTGAGTTTGGGCGGCGACAATATTTATGCAAACGACCAATATTTTTAAACTTGCTTCATTTTATATGGCTATCTGTCCGTCGTCGTGGCTATCTGTAGTCGTTTTTATAATTAGACAAACAGTTGAACTGCAAACAAATAAAGTGTTAACATTATTCTGCTTACAAAGGTTGGAAAGGGAGTGGAATATATATACCATACACATCCAGGAGATTGCCCTTTTCATCGCATGACACTTCTTCAGCCTTTTGCAAGTGCATCTTTTATAAATGCACAATAAGGATTCTTGAACCGTTAATTTCTCTCAAAACGTTTCCCAATTTCCTGTAACTGTCCAATTATTTATTGTTTGGAAATTTCACGTTTTTGTTTCGAAAACGAAGAGACATCCTGTGTCTTGGGAATACTTGATTGATACTTTTCCAAAATCCTAGATCTTAAATTGGAACAGGCTTGTTCGTTATATATATCCTTAACTTTTATATTTCGAAATTCTCCATTTGAATTTATTCCGTGAAATGCTTTTCAAAGATTTTCATCATGATACAAGCGTTAATAAACCTCAACTGGTTGGGAAGAAACGATGCCAAATGCAAGACGTGTGATTACTCAATTGATGAGTAGGGAAACAACTTGATAATTGCCGCGGCGCATCGCACGTAATCTACCCGTCTGGTTTGCCAGCCGTCTCCTGCAATAACAATGTTTCATGTCGGTATATTTTCCGGCTGTTCTGTTATAATATAGTTATATCTTTCTCTTTTAACCTGATATGATATGGGCGCTTTCTTTGTTGTAGCTGGAAGTTCGGCACTAACGCTGACAATAAAATTTCAAACAGAAAACAGTCATTCATGAATGAGGATAAAAATTTGTCAATTTTTCCAACATTCTAGCCTTATAACTCTGATATTTGAATGGCGTGTCATGTAATGTTTCATGTGATTTTATGCATTTTATGTAATTTCTTGTACGCGTTTAACGCACTAATAATATGAGCTATCATCTATTGTAGAGTATTATGATTTATTATATTACAACTTCTTATAGGCTATATCTGTCCATCCGCCTGTAGTTGCGGATTTTTTATGTATCGTAATGTGCATATAACTTGTAGAGGCAACCGCACAGCATATATATACACGGCATGCTTATGAAATGAATTGGCAGTATTTGTACATCAGCAAAATGTTTGTATTTGTATATTGATTTGACAGTATAGGCATATTTTTGGCTGTATATGTATATCACGTTACTAACCGGGGAAGACGGGAATCAGCAATGTGCAAATCATGGTTCAATCGTTATGAACTCCGTTTAAAATTATCTAGTATAAGCATATTTTTGGCTGTATATGTATATCACGTTACTAACCGGGGAAGACGGAATCAGTAGTGTGCAAATCATGGTTCAATCGTTATGAACTCCGTTTAAAATTCCATAGGTTCTGTCGTAAAAATACAGAGGTTTGAGTAATGCAACGAGGAGTACAACTGTGTATGATTTACTTTTTCTCTTTCATTCGTATAAATGCTTTCAGTAACTACTGATTTGAAAAGCAAGACTTTAATTTAAATTTACGACTCCTACAAAAACGTTATTTTGTTTTCGTTCTAATCATTAAGATAAAACAATAAAAGATAAAATTAAATCATGAAATAGTAAAATTTGTATGCTCAAGTTGAAAAAATTACAAAAAATGACATTCAAAAATTGAAAGTACTATCCTCAGAAAACAAAAAGTTTAATTATACGTGTTGTCATCTTTGGGACGGGGAGTAATTATGGGCACTAATCAAGCCGAACCAATGTAAACATTCATTTATATGAATATCAGGGTTAGGTATTAGCGCGACTGTCTAATCAGCAATTCATCCATTCGTTATAGTAAACTATTTGAATAATCTTTACCAACAAAAAAACTAAAAGACGAGAAGTATATATAAAGGTACCGACATTTTTGTTAATGTGGCAACGACGAGTGTCACATTTTCAAATCAAAATCATTCATCTTGCTTTCATAGCCAAGTCGAATTTTAATTTACAGTTCAATCGCCAGTTTGTCTGCTCTGAAGTCGGGACAATAAAATGTGTAGCAAAATAGTTTAATGACCAATCTGACACGAACATTGGAATCTGATGATAAAATCGCATCTCATAATTTCAACAAGTCAGAAATTACAGAAATACCTATAACGAGGAATTATTCGATGGTTAATTGTATCTCTTGAAATCGGTAAATCGTAGTATTTTATCCGGAATGCAACAAAAAAGTAGTCGTTTTGTCCGCAGTTAGGGAATCAAATGCAGTCTAAGTGAACTACGTGTGATTGTTAATGATCGGATTCATAAAACTGAGCGTCATAGTTCATTTCTTTCGTCTTGTTATTCTGGTATTTGCGAGAGCAGCATCTGGTTCATTCGTGCTACAATCACACAGTATCACCAATATTTTCATGTTGAATGATATAAGGAATATATGAATTTCAAATCAAAGTCTGAGCTATTTGTGTCCCTGGTTCAATACGAGAACTACTTGTTGCACCTTCGATAAACTTTTTATCAGAGTAAGATTCTCGTAACTGATCATTATTGTTGTTTTCCGTTTTGATATATGGATTATTTGAATTTGATATTTTCATTTCTGATAGATCTTCCGTTCGATCAAGAATATCCGCTGAATCGTCTTCTTCCAAAAGAATTCTGCAAAATATTTTCATTAAAAAATTGTGATATGTATGCAAGCAACCCAAATTTATGGTGATATGATAGATTCGCGATTCAAGTAAGTACCTGGAAAAAGTCTTTTGGAATATTATAATTTGTCATACTATAATGTAACTAACTTGCTCAAATCCGTCAATTTTGTGGATTGTTCTTCGGCGACGAGCATTTCGTATTCTTCTGCTGCGAAATTGTCCCAATCGCTCATCGCCATAATTGATCCATCCATATTCTAAAACGTAAATTTAATTAGATTTGCTATTTGTAGTCTTTTTTGTATTTATTCATTACATATTATATGCACCCCAACATAACAACATAATGTGGTCTTGGACAAATTTTAAGCACAATTAATTTTCTATCATTGATCGGAAAAAAGAACAAAGAATAAACATATAAACTCACATTTTGTGGCGCAAGAGGATCTTTTTGTTCATTGTTGAGGTATTTGGCAATATTGAAGAATGTATCAAAAAACACGTGAGCCATTTTACAAGTTTTCAAATCTTTCAAACTGACTCTTCCTGGGTATTTTGGATTAACAATGTCAAATATCTGAAATAAAAAATAAATAAAACATAGGCATAGTGAATATGTAGGTAATTGCAGTCTTAGGTGTTGAAGCACCACCATTTCCATTACCCCAAGCTTCGAAGCTTGACTAAATAATAACCTCATATCATGTTAAGTGCTAATGGCGGTGCTATTTTCCGGTGAGGTTATTATAAAATCATATTAATGAATGTCAGACATTTTTTGGTTGATTCAAGTTCATAAATAAAACAAATAAACACGCTAATTGCCAATATAAGTTTATAAGTAATAATTTTCTTGATGGTTTGTTAAGAGTTTCGAGTCTGAACATGACTTGAGGCACATATAAACGTAAACGTGAAAAGTCAGGTGTATTTTTCTAGTTTACTATAGAAATCTTGGTTCTCTAATAAGCTGAGATCTGCACTGTTACTCGTAATATTGGTATACTGAGTAAATAAAAAAAAATTAGATTTCATGCGATCATTTTTCACTAATCGAATTACATTCTGCAGATATATTTCCAATCATGAACGACCGCGAGTACAAATTTGAAAAAAACGGAATAGCGATTTCAACAGCGATGTCTTGTAATGGACTTCTTCTAATGTAAAATACAAATAAAATCCTGTTTCTGACAGTTTTGGGAAAGTTTTTTCGTGAAGGGAAAATTGTTATAAATATGAAAATTCGAAGATAACAGTCAATTTCGCCCGCCAATAATCAGAAATACCTGACAAATGCAGTCTTCAAATGGTAGTGGTTCAATATCAAGTTGTTCTAATTTTTGTGACTGCTCTTCATAAAAATATTCCATTTCATACATCGATATGACTCCGTCTCCGTCGAGATCCATACATCGGAACCAATATTCAATGCTGCAAAAAACGTCATTGTTAAAGCCCGAAAGGCAATAAAATGCTTTCTAAATTTAGGGTGAAATTGTAATGAGTAGCACGTGTCGTATTCCATTAATAGCCTTTACTTTTCGCTAACTTGCATAAGGCGACTGAATCAGTTTGATAAGTTCTAGACATAACGTGTAGATTTCACATGTATATGTCAAACCAGTTCAGGAGTTCTTAAACTGGGATCCGCGGACCCCCAAAAGGTCTGAGAAGGTTGAGTTTAAGGGGTCCTTGAAGGACTAGTATAAATTTTAGGAATAAAATGATATTGTCGCAATATTCTATACAAGATGAACATAAATTGAGTTTGAGCAATAACTTTTTGGAGCATAACTGATATTTTTGCTTGGGACTTGGACTTTACAGCGATTTTTTTTATTGAATGGGTCAAAAATGATATTTTTATTGCGGAAAAGAAGACTGTAGATCACAGATATTTAATCAATAAGAAAAATGCTGTTTCATCTTTCCCGCGAGTCTTGTATTCTCGAGGTTGGTATTTCGTGGTTTTGAGCTTTGATTATGTAGCACTCATATCCTTTTGTCTCGCTGTTTTATCATCTTAGTTTTGGCTGTGTTTATATTCTTATACTTTTAACACTAGCAAGGCACACGTGGCGTGGTTTTCAGAATTTTTGTAACAAGATTTCACTTAGTTCTCGGCTCATGTATAACCATTTTGCAATGGGGCATTATTTAAAAAACAAGTCTTTACGAAAACACTCACTTACGCACTTGCGCGTCTTGTGCAGCTGCCTTAAAATTTGAAACTGCTGTCAAATATAACAGACAAATATGCCAGAGAAGACCATCCAAATGACGATTGACGACTATATAATCATAACACATAATTCGAATGTCATAAACATCGTGATAACATTAATATCGGTATGGTATAATCGTTATCTTATCGCTAGATTGAATTATGAACGGTTTTATCCCTATAATATTATCATGTTTTTTTAGGGCTTGGCGGGTGTGTTTCAGACTATTCTCGAGGATGCTCGATGGAAAAACGTGCGAAACAGTTTATTGGCAGATACAGGCAGATATTGCTTTCAAACACAAATATAATTGTGAAAAAAATGTTGCAAACAGATTTCGACCTGACCTGATCGCTCGTTGCGTATATTTTAAAATTGTTTCGCATAATTTCAAAATACCAAGCGAATCAGGATTTGTATCCTTGCTTACTAACGAAACTGAAAGTCGAAACAGGTTGGAGGTGTCAATATTAACATGCGTGTTGCCCTGTCAAATGCACAATTTCATGTTTTTAGGCACACAATAGCTTCCTTCACATTAAACTATCAATAGAGGTCACGCGAGACTAACTCCCAATTCTTCCTCAATGCCTTCGTGCTAGTGGATCCGTATGCGTATATTCCAAGGATGTTGTAGCAGAAATGAACATGCCATACTATACAATGCAAGAGTCCTGCTGCACTAACAAACATAAATTTATTTCTATAAAGTTTCGTCTGAGGAAGCCTGATTTTGGTCAGACGAAACGTTACAGAAATACATGTGTGTTAGTATGCAGCACGACTCTTCACACTAAAATTGCGACTTTTTTTTCCACTTTTCTTTGTTTAAATTTTTTTAGACAGACCCCGATAAAATATTTTACCACCAGGTACCAATAAAATCATTTAAGGGTCCGTGATATAAAATGCTTGAAAACAACTGTACCAGTTTGATTTACTTCTTGACGAATTAATGTTTATTTATTTCAGTACTAATATTAATGTAAAATAAGAAGGCAATGTCTTCTAATTAGTGTTTCCCCAAACTGTGCGTTGCCCATTTCCCATTTCCTAAAAAACTATTTCCAGCGTCTGCTTTAAATGTATGTGACTTAACAATTCTACTCACAAGACCTTGCTAGATTTTTACCTTGTCGGAGATTTCTTATCTTCTTCGGATAAAATGAACCAAACAAAATCAACATATGACATTCTGCTGAGTTGATGGTCAGATGTATCCCATCTTGTTACAGCACCTGATAATACTCTCTCTATCAATCTGCTTGATAATACTGAAAAATAAAATGCAAAAAAGTTAAATAAATTAAATATTTAAACAGGAAAATTCTGAAGTTCTGATATGAGTGAAAACTATTTTGAACCTAAATATCTGATGCTAAAATTTTTGTAAATTAACATCCAGGTTTTTATGATTTATATTTATTCACCTTATATGTTAATCTCATGCAAAACGAAAATGGGCTTTGCATCACTAAGCACGGTCACTTGCGGCCCGCAGTTATTAAGTATAAATCAATGAAATTATTTTTGTTGACTCCGCTCCTATAATATACCCAATATTAAGGGAAAGTCCAGTTACTTTATTTTTGGCATCATATCACTTACCTCCATCTCCATAACCTATTAGATCATGTTTGTCGATAACAAGATCATGGTCTGTGTCTAATTCCCAAAATTTACAGTAAATGACGTAAAAATGTTCATATGAAAAATAATCAGTAATAGCGTTGATGTCATCTTCTTCTTCAAGTAATGATAAAACCTGTAAAATAACAAGTCAAGTAAATAACAACGTAAAGTTTTTAACAAATAGTTGGCTACGGTAACTAATCGAATCAAATTATGTAATATATATGTGACCTCCAGTTGATATTGTTTCCAGGATGCAATTTAGTAACGCCAAATCCCACCAAAATTTCCGAAATTACTATACTGAGTGGTAAAAATATACTTACTGTTAAAAAGTTACTTTTTCTCAACTCTTGTGCGGTGATTTGACCCGACCATGATCTGTTTACGACGTAGAATATTCTTGCAATAACCTGGAGAATAAAAGTTTGTCTGTTCATAAAAAGCGTCAAACGAGGGTGTTGAGCTAGATTGATATACTCAAGTGTATTGAACCATCTAATTTCAAAAATCAATATGTCTCGAAATATAAATATTCTATAAAACGTTTTTTTTTCTCAAAATGGCGTACCGTTTATTTGCAACAATATAGTTGCACGCTGGCTTTTTAAATTGGGTAAATTATGTATTCATGTAAAATTTTAAATGTGAATCACTGATGAGTCATAAATAAATTGTTTCCGTGTTTCACAACTATTGATAGATTTGGTTTCAGTATTTCATTGTAACATTCAAGCCATAATAAAAATCTATGTTTTGCTCATAGATCAGAACATAGTTGGTGTCAAGAATTTTAGGTTAATCGAGAGTAAATATACTTTGTTGAACATTTAATTCCAATCATGGGTGAAATTTTATTTTATCAAGTGGTGGATACAAATTTAAACGTAAGGCCACAAATAACCGACTATTGAACGAATTACCAAATTTATTACCAGCAAACTTCTTGACCATATTGACTTAAACACCGGAAATTATGGATTCAATTTAACTCTTTGAACTCTGACGGCTCTGAGCGAAGTTACTCGCTCACCCTGAAGATTCGCGGCGCCGTATTTGTAGAACAATAAAATAGGTCTAAATACTGGCTATTTGGCACGCTTATAACTTTTTACCAATTATAGGTAGCACGTTGTGTGACATTTCAATCGAAAGGAAATTTTATCGTGCATTCAGAATGTATTCTCCATTTCGAAATATATTTTGTCAAAATTAATAAAATTGACTCTAATCTAACAGTGATTTTTTTGCATGTAAGTGAGTTATGGCTCCAAATTTTGTTATTTTGGTACAAAATATACTGCCAATATTTGAGGTTCATAAAGAGTTCTTTATAAGCTTTTTGTTGATATTGGAATTATTATTGTGGCTGCCGTATAACCAATTTTATATTTAAATATCCAATTGTGTATCAGTGTGCCTGTCGGACAACTTCGATAATCGGCCATGACGCACTGATTACGCAGCTACGCAAAAGCCGATCACGTGACTAAGGTCATGAAGATGTTGATACGTACGTTCGAAACGTATTGCGTGGCAAAATGCGCAAGATAACTTTCACGACGACGTTCTCAGCGGGACATCGGTCGCCGAGTTTCGATATGATATTAACCCCGTATGGATTGAAGCACCGACGAAACACACGAAATAACATGCCCAGCAGCAGTGAAAGCTTATCATAATTCATTCGTGGGAGGTACTGATAAAAACGACCAGTTGACTTACAAAAGTGCAGGAGGCATTATAAATGGCCAAGACGTTTAGTCATGGAGTTTTTCATGTGGGCGACGTACAATTCCTACGTCCTAATGAATTTTGTCAAACCTCACAATATGAGAGCAAAAAGGGTATTCAGTATTCACAATCCCCAATTTTCTAGAACAACTATTTAAAGATCCCGCTGGAAAAGGCAAGATGTTGATGAAAAAATATAATAAAAGATAATAAAAAACTGCAACTAAACGTACGGCACGACATATATAAACCGCGAAACGCCAGTTCTAATAATAGATACGTCGTATGCAGCAAAATTCACAGTATTGCCAAAAAAGCCAATCCAGCTGCTAAAGACAAAGATTTGCCGAAACGACGCAAGACAGTATATAAATGCAAATACTGTAAAGAGTATCTATGCATAGGTAACGAAACCAACAACCATCGGTATGAGTGGCACAACAAAGTGCAATATTGGATTTAGAATGTGTCTTTTATCTGCATAATATTTTCATGTTCTTCATTGTTCCGAGCACAACGAAGTGCAATATTCAATTTAAAAATTACCACAACTTAAGAAGGGCTTGAGCGGGCAGTCAACGCGTAGTGCGAATTTTGAATGCGTAAAATCGGGTTAATTGATTACTTTCTGCGGACATTTAAATAATAACATCTCGACGTAACGTTATTGCGGACATCGTCACGCTTTGTTGCATTTCCGTAACATACGTAAAGTTGTGCGTGACGAGACGTAGCCTCGCTTCAATGAGAACGTCATTTTGACGCAGCGTCGCTGTTAAATCTACAGAAAATCAAACATATTTGGCCATGAAATTTGAATGGCTTATCGTAAAATCGTTTTGGATAAGTCTTTAAAAAGCTATTTAAATTCTCTAGATATGTTGTCGATTGTATATTAGGTTATTTAGGCAGAAAATAGTCAATTTTTGACATTTAATTTTTGTTTTCATCAAATAAATTTATACACTCTTTTTTTGCTAATTATCCCCAGATAATTGGAAAATATAGCAGCAATATTTAAAGTGTAGATAGTTCTAATGACCAGCTTTTATACAGTATAAGACTTACTTAAATATCTATTGTGGTTCTTAAGATATGAGGGAATAAAGTGGATTGATTTTCACGCGATAAACTGGCCGGTAAACCGGCCAGCAGGGTGAGAGAGCAAACTCGGGCTGGCCGGTAAACCGGCCAGCAGGGTTCAAGAGGTTAACAGTCGATTTTACAGTTTTGTTGTGTGGTCACTTGGTATTCGACTTTTGAGGTTTTTTCTCAACTTCTTTACATATTTAAATATATATTCTTGTGGCCTCGCGATTATGGCACAATCTAACAACACATAATACAACTCACCGTGTTCATATATCTTGTATGGAACTCAGGAGCGTCCTTTAGAAACACTAAACCAGGATGCGAATCCACGATATCCTACAACAACAAGCAATTAGTTTGAATTAATATTTCGTTTTTTAAAAAAACGCTACTGATTGAAAGAAAATAAACTTACTTTTAAAAGAGGTAGAAAATCTTCAAAATCGAGACAATTTTTTGTAGGTTTGCACAACAATGCAACAAACCTTGACGATTGGTCGTGATTAGTGGATGTCACTCTGAAATAAAGTAATTTATCGTTTTAATAAGAGAAGTGCAATATATTACAAAAAGCAGCGATAAAAATAATCAAAGGAATGTCAAATAAAATCAAATGATCAAATACTGAGATTCAAAAGAAATCGTTCCAAAAGTTACCATTTCAATTGCCTTACGAATGGTTCTTGAAAAACTGTAGATACTGTTTATCATTTTCTCGTTGAGGCGAGTTATAGATGTAAGCAAATTCACGGGCGCATCCCATCACATCTGGTATCTTTATATAATGTGATGCTCAAAGTAAAGTGGCAACTTTATCTCGTGCTATGTGGAGTGGATCTCAATAGGGTTAAGAAAATACAGTTTGCACAGCCGCTTGATGAAAGAGATTTCCACAAAAATGAGGGTCTTGAAAAGAAGCCTTGGACATAGAATTTTCTTACACAGACGAGAAAACTTTATAAAATGAACGAGACTATGAACCTTTGAATAGGAGAGTGATATTTTAGGATCTCTGTAACCTACTTTTTCCACATTCGTATCAATGAGGACTCTGACACTTCTTTGGCATCAATGTCGTCCGCCGCGGCGTAGAAAAGTGCTCCTTTCCAATAAATTGACAAATTGCAAGCCTAAATGAAACGAATTTAAATAATGTAAATATAGTTTTCAAGTTATTAGACGTTTTTTCACTCTACTACAACACAACGGTCTTCAACCTCTTCAAAGATTTCAAAAGAATCAATTTTAGTCGCAAGGTGACATCTTGTGATAAAGTTTGTGCGTTTTTTAGATTGAGACAATTCAGAATATAGATAAGGTAGTCAAATTGACTGGATAGGATGAAAAACGTATGACGGAATAAAGTAAATTATGAGCTGCTGTACGGAAATTGTTCACCGGTACCAGTATCCATATACTGATCAGTCAGAACAGAGCTTGCTGACCCAAGTTAAGAATAGAAATGAATATAATTGTGTGCTAAACTGAATAGTGGAAACTGGATAGACCTCAGCTATCTATATTTACGATGTTATGATATAATGATATTGAATTCTGCATTTTGCAAGAAGCATACATTTTTTAATATAATTCTGGTAGTGAAATACCTACATAGTCGCACTCAATCCAGATTTCCCAGAGGAACGATAATTATGGATGCGGTTGTTTAATCTATCGTAGTTTTAATCAGCTGACTTGGTGTTGCAAAAATGCTTCGGTAGAGTAATATATAATATAATAATATTTTGTGTATTATAATTATCACCCTTCATACAAATTTGAGGAAACTTGGCGAGAACATTATGATTTTGAAACATCTTATAAGCAATACAATATAGGCCTATTATGCTGCGTGCAACACATGCGTGTAGGCTACTTCTAAAAAAAAAAAATTATGCTTGAAAATCTATTCTAAACAATAATTTTAGCGGCAATAGAATCAGATTGGATCAAATTTTCAATGGAAATTATACAATGCATTTTTTTAACAAAAGGTACTTATATACAATTCAATATTTGCCATACTTTAGCAACCAATCCCATTTCCGTTAATGGAACCATTCCCCCATCAAAGCAACTACAAATTTCCGATATTTTCTGAATTGTTGTATGAATTTCATCTATAGAAAAAAGAAAAAGAGAAAATAAGTCGAGTTACTTCTGTAAAACGAAATAGGCCAAACATCGAAACAGGCCACACGTATGCACGTACAATGAACGAGTTGCGTTTGTGACAGCGCCAGAGCACTGAGAACAAAATGTTTACAGATTTTGAGGCGAAAGTGTTCTAAAATACGATAGTAATTATTATATTGTACCATATATATATATGTGATTGGTATATTATGGGTCAGCCATGGTAGTATTCGTTTTAACATAATAAAAATATGCTTACAATAGGGTCATACCTACCTTGTGATCGTGGTTTTCCTTTTGGAAAATAAAATCTTGGAATTTCGGGCTTTTCAGATTCAACTTTAGGAGCGACAATTGGTTGCACTGGTTCTTCTCTCTGTAAATTATAAACAAATTCATGCGAAAAAGAGTAATGCATTAATTAACGCCCTTGGATCGTAAAACACTTTTCAAATCAAAATCCTGGCATGTTAGTACCGAGATCGGAAAAGAAAAGGGCTTCAGTAATAAATATTGAAATAGAAATTTGTGAATACATTTCCAATCAGATCATTCGTTTTGACACACGATTCTTTCACATGGACAATAGCAGTTAACGCTTATAAATCATAATTTGAATTTTGTGAGAATTATGGTGAATCTCAATATATCAGGATAAATATCGAACGCTTTACATACTCTAGCACAAATATGGCTTGAATTATTATGAAATTCGTAGTAAAACACTATCCTATGCACTGGCGTTTTTCAAAATATCCTAATGTAAAGTTATCGCTATGTTATCAATACAAGTTGTTAAAGGATGTACGGATCTTTTGTGTTTATGGTTTGCGGTATTTACCTACCTTTTGCAACGCTAGAAAACGTCCATATTTTGATTAGAATTTGAATTTACACAAGGCAAGTTTGGAGAATTGATGGTGCGCGAAGTAAAAACAAATTGTAATTGTCTCATTGAGAATAATGATTAGGTAATAAACACTGATGTCTTATACCACGTTCCTAGTCAGAGTTGCTCATTTTGCAAGCAGTTTACCTAATCAGAGAGTACTAAGATATTGTGTACTGGACTGCGGATCTCTCCACGTTTGACTACAGTTAGTTAAACCTCACTGGTGTAACTTGCCAAGTATGAATGAGTATAGAATTTAGACGAGTATGAAAAGGCCGGGAAATTGTAAATGCGAATCGCGTCAAGGAACAGTGCTGAAATTTCGCAATAACATTCTGAAGAACTTCAAGGTAGTAAACAAAGCTCCGTTTTTATGTCAGGAGACATAAACGGTGAAGGGTTTCATCGTTGAGTGTACCGTCCGTCGTTACTGGAGATCAAGGAATCTTGATTCTGATGAAATGTACTTTATTACACTATTGAGCGTTAAGTTATCCTCACGAGGCTGTGCCAATGCTGTTTCTTATTTTTTTTTTTATTATTATAGAATGATAATCGTAGATAACAGCTATTGTAATATCCCGACACTCATTTGTAAACAGGCGACTAACGTTGTCAGTGGCAATAAATGACAGATTGAAAAGTAAAATTAAACTCGGTGGGGTGGACATCCACGAAAAGAAATGTTGTGTGATTTCATCAACAGCCTAAAAGACAAGTGAAAATATGCATATATCCGAAAGTGACATATTCGATAGTTCACTTTGGAGCTAAACACGGCGAGAGAAAGTACGGAGAAAGGGGATAAAAATAAATGATGAAAACTTCATTAAATCACTTTGTTTTGTCAATTATTTTAAATACTAAAATGTCGAAGCGCACACGACAGTGTCTAATAGAGTTTATACAACGTCCATAATCGACCCTCAAATTGCTATCAAACACCGGTGTCACTTTGCTTATAATGTTGGAGTATGTATATCTGACATGTATATCAACAATGGTTATCAATGTGAATATTTCATTTCCAAGTCGCTGAAGTTGGGTTTTGGCGATCTATACAATTTCAATTTGTACTTATATTAAATATTGGGACTTAAAATAATACATGTGGAGTTCACATCGATTAATGCGCGGCATTACCCTATCCTATAGTAACGATAACCCGCTCGGTCCGTGAAAATATTGGTGAGGCAATGTTCGAAAACAAAAATACGTTTATTTTCACTGAGAAAAGAACCTCTGGATCTTTGGTTGGATGTTATCGATCGCCTCAATCGGTTGATGTTTCGTCTTTGAGTTTACTTATGAGAAATGCCAATCTATATAGGCGACTGCGAAGTTCGGCCATGACAATGTTCGTCTATAATTATTACAATTCTTCACCAATTTAACCAATGTGGTTGACTTGTCAGGGCAATTTGCCCTATGATTTCAGACTATCTGTGTATATAATTTATTGTTATTTTTATTATATGGAATTTGGAATTTATTATATATTTATATAACTAGATCACGGTTGTTTGGACATTTACGGTAGTCAAAGCATAAAATATTCTACGGCTTTCCAGGCATTGTATGGTGGTATAGACAACCGGAGATATCAAAATAGTAACGGAAATCACGTATATGAATTCATGAATAGCAAGAACATTATGCCGTAAACATCCAGTAAATAGGAATCTGAAATTTCTGAATTCTATCCAGCGACGAAACACTTATTTATATTCGTTTATACTGCCCGATAACGTCGAATAGATATTTCTGATAATATGGAGATTCCTAACCAGAAAGCATGTTATCTTATTCAGTTGACAACGCTGTGATTTAGGAGAGATTTGTGAAACAATGGTTCGCATTAAGTTTCAATACTCTGGGATTTTTCAGTACGCGATGTAGAACATAACTTATGAATTTGTTATTAATCATTATTTTCTCGTTGTACAAATCTTCATGCTCTTCATAATGCAAATACAGACGGCACTCCAGCTCTACGCCACTGGAAGCTCGCAAGATTCAATGCTGTTATCGTTAAATAACGCTTTGGAGTGATTCGGATCAGCAATGATAATATACATTCATGCGGGAAATTGTAGATTGGAAAATTTTGGCCTGTGCCTTAGAAACTTCTGTACTGTCTCATTATAATTCGCAGTGTCTCACCTGAAGTGAACGATATGAAAATCATGGTAAAAAATCTTACTTTCATCCATTCATGGGACAGGCTTCCTTTTATACTGTCTTCCATTTCAAGTATAATTAACTTCATTATGAACACGTGACAACGTAGTGATACTCAGTCGTACTGTTGCCCGACTAATACCACATTGAAATATTACTTACTGACTATAACGTATGGTTCGGTCTATCACAAAAATAACGATATGAATTGTTAAAATCTAATTTATCTGAGATTTTCACGGATAGTAAATTAACATGTAGGTACAATATTCTGATTTGATAGTAAGCTTATCCGATTATGACGGTACTGATTTAGTCTATCAATTGGCACAATAGCAACTTAAAAATTCAAGTGAATTCCTATAGTTTAAATTAAACACTTAGATGCATTTTTGCTGCATGAATGTAAACATTAAACGTCTCTCGTTGAGGGCCTGCAGTAACTTTTTAGTAATTAATGTCATTTTACTTTAATTGTCAGTGTTATATATTATTCTTGGATGCTTGATGCAAGATAAGCAGATTGAAGACAACGAATGACATTTAAGACTCTGGTGGCTACTGTTTGGCTACCCGTTACCTACGTTACCTACGACGCGAGAAGAAACTGGTGTTTTACTACATCTGAGAACTCTAGCACTGAAGATCTACAAGTTGTTTTCATGCATACGCATATCGTTATGCAGCGTAGTCCATGATTTATGACCGACTTTCAAAAATCATACGTAAAGAAGGTAGTGCTACGCTCGCATTGACATGCCGTGTAAAACGCACAGGATATGACTAAATGCATCGCATCAGGGATGCGTGGCTATAATAATATTGTATACCATCGGACATGTATGGCTTTATGAATAAAATTTTGCTTCAAGTGCGCTTTGGCTTGAATCTAAGAAGATCCGCTTGTAATTTTATCCAAATATATCCTATTAGTTATGCAGTGCGTGAAAAATATGACGAATATATTTGATGTCTAATGGAATTGGACGGACGATTACCTCTCATTGGTCAAAAATAACTACGCAGCGCACCATACTAACAGGGAGTACTTGTTGATTAACTGCTTTTCACATTGGATAACAATGCCAAAACCTTTGGATACTGCTTTTTAAATTAAGTTTCACTGTCGCTTAGCAATTTTCACAGTACGTACGAAGTTTTTCCGGAGTTCATATTTTGTAAAAATACAACGTTTGTATCGCAGAGAAATAAGTCCGCAACGTAGTTCTTACATGTTCATGCATTTGCAACAGTAAACCACATCCTTTCAAATTGTATCAAATTTAGAGTCTAAATCTGTAGCAAAAAAACGGCAAAACGACGCACATTTATGTTCAGTTCGTTAACTGCTTTGATTCAATGAATGCGAGACCCGGAAGGAAACTGGCGTGACGTTACTAAGTATACAAATCGGTGAGCAAGAGGCTATGCAGTATAAATGACGGCAGTTGGACTATATGTACACAAAACGTGATAACGTTACTTTGAGCGAAATACCTCTAATGTGGTTTTATTATAACATCTCTACTTTGAGGATTTTAATTCAATACATGATTCTTCTATTGACCAAGCTTATCATATCAGTTATTGCAAGATAACAGTAGACGAACTTACGCGCAGATGAACAAACATACTGGTTTATGTAACTTTGTTCAAAAATATATTCGCTTTATTGTATGCTACAATAAATCGAGTATAATGATGGACCAACATTGTCGCTACAAAATGCTCCAATTTGAGACGAACTTCGTTTAGCACATTAAATATGAATCGGTTGACGGAGTTTATCAATCACATTAATTGGTTTGAACGGACTCAAACAACGAGGTAAAGGACTGAGAATTGAGTAAGACAATGAACGAAACAAATGCAGGCCAATGAAAAATAAGGGCTGCAAATCTCCTGCAACGTCCCTGCTTCGAACATATTAATCTAAAACGGATAACTTTTAAACAGCTATACAGTCATCGTATTTTTTGGAATTATCAATAAAATGTTTCTCTTCATCATCGAGGATTTATAGATAGATCGATACTCGCCTAAACGTTTAGTTATTTATAAATTGGCAATATTGCAGAACCTAAACATTGACCAACAAGATAAACATTCGCAAATGATTGCTAGAATGTAATTTTTAGTCAAAATCGGGATTCAAATTAAGCAGCAGTATCGAATTGAAAAGCAAGGTCATAATGACCTGACGTTGACATTTTCACCCATGCGCAGAACGAACGCTTTGAATTCGTATTTGAATTGAATTTGATTTTGACCTTAAGTGTTCAATACGGATACCACTGCAGTGTAAATAATGGCGCTCCAGAAGCGTGTGTACCAATATGAAGGTAACTAATTTTGTTTGCCTACTTCACATCAAGTTGTGTAAAGGGACTAAAACCTATGGGCAGGGGGTATATTCACTTGGCTAACACAAACAGTCCCCAAACTAATGGAACTAAAATAAGGAAAATCGGAATTAAATTATGGCCCGACTCTAACACGGTACATGCGCTGCGGGAGTACCTAAATATTTATTGGTAACTCATGCTTACGTTCTAATTGCAAACTCATCTGGAATCCTGGGGGAAAATAATAGCCATAAGTGTTAATACACGTACTACGAGTAGACAAACTACATCGATCTTTTTACAGTCTAATTCAAGCGCAATCGAAATCCAAAGGCAAGTCAAATAAATAGTAACTGAGGCTTACCACGTGTGGTGTGGATCCGTTCGTAACAAGAGTAATCGTCGTATTCTTATACTCGTTTGTGTTATTTATGACATCAAAAAATTTCTCTTTAGAGATTCGAGATGCTTCATACGTTGATGAAACCTTTCTTTTCACAGTGTCCGCGTTCCTACCGTCTTTGACATCTTCCGAAACATCTGCATGCCTGAAATCGCTGATTTGGGGCTTCATTGCAGACCTATGAGTTTGTTTTACGATTATATTTTTGTCATTATCTTTTAAGTTATTTTTTGTCAATTCATTTGTATTATAATCAGGGATCAAGTTTTTTCTTATAGAAGAAGAACCATTTTTCTGTATCATTACGCCTGTAACGTAATTTCGTCGTGGCTCAGTCCGTGTGTTTGGCTTTTGTTGGTTGGGTACTGCTGCTATAGATATTTTCTTAATTCGGAATTTTGATGCACCTCCATTGCTTAATTTGGTGGAATCTAGCGATAAAGCTGGCGGAGAAAATTGTTCAACGGAAGTGTCTCTGCACGATTTTATCTGGGAATTCGATTGAGTCACAAAATCCATGTGCGAAGGAGAATTTTTCGACTCTGCCATGAAGTTGCAATGATTCATGGGCATTGTTATAATGGAAGAATTGGACGTTGAGTTAGTTGTTACTGACATTGGTACATATATTGTGCTTTTGCATCTGGATTGGGCCGTTTTGTCTCTATTTGTTTTTTGAGTCGAATCGAAGTGTTTTGTTCCAGTCCGAGGTGACGTTTTTTGCTGTACATTTATCGGAACAATTCTACTGTTTCCACTTTTGGTCGTTGGTGCGTAATTGTTCTTAATCACGAAATTAGGAGTGTTATGACTTTGAGCAGAGAAATCCATGAATCCCATAGAATTAGACAAAGCGTTTGATATAGCACTTCGAGCGGAGTTTTTGGTGTGAACAAGAGGTTTCTCTTCGTAAATATGTGTTGGGGCATGCATCTCTGAAGGTGAAGACGAAAATACAAATATCGGAGGTTTTTGCTTGCCAGTATTTATTGCAAATGGTTTTGTGAGGTAGTTAGCATTGCGGTCAGACGCCATTGTTTTTGGGGTGTACACGGGGGCTGCGAAACCTTCTCTTTTTTGCAAAATAAGAAAGCCATCAGGATCTGGTCTGCCTCTATTCATCAGAGACTGTTTGATAAATCTTAATCTGTCCAAAGCGCTAGATAAATCTTCTGGTCTGTAATTTGGTGAGCGACAAGCAACATTATATTGTAGTTCGTCGCCATATCCTCTCATTGAATCAACTAATATCCTTTTCCGTAAAACTCCATCGAGCAACCGACGACTTTTTTGTTTCAGCAACTTATTCCCAATCTTGTGTGTGGGGGAATCTTCATTGAGATTATGCCACATTTGTAATTTCAATAGATTTTTTAATTAATATTAATATTCATAAATTAATTCACTAGAACATAGAACAAGGAAAACTGTAATATGTATATAATAAGGGTGTTGGTTATTAATAAAGCAGTCATAAAGCATACTATTTACACTAGATTTGCTTTTAAAATTGTTAAAAATTTATGTTCCTATATTATTATATTCAGTTCATCGTGCATATGCTGCAGAAATGGTGTATTCGATATCTATATACGACTTTTTAATTGTTTTGACTGCACAATACGCGACATAACATTGATTCGTTGTGAAAGTTTTTATTACAAACCATGGAACGCGTAACTACCTCAGCTTTCATCATCTCCAAAAAACACAGATTACGGAATCTTCGATAAGCGGCTTTAATAATCCATCAGAAAACAATTTAGTCGTTTAAGCCGATTACCCGAATTCCAAACAATTCCGTTTGTGTAGGTAATGTATAAATTAACCACAACTTTCCATCAGTAACACGCCTAAGGCACAAGTCCTGTTTCATCAGTAAATATATCCCTAGAACCCAAAATGTGTTTTAAATTGCGCTACGTCATACGTCAATAGATGCTATGTTTATGCGTTGGTACAATTAATATAGAACAGAGAAATCCTGTTTAGAAAGAAGCCGTCGCATCTATTTTTAGCACAATTTCTTGAGTGTCAAAATTTGAGTTCTGAGTTCGCAATTTCAGATTACGTTGACAATATTTCTTTACGTTTTTGAATGTTTAGAACATGCCGAATGATCTTATAGGGCTATTCCTCTTATACTTCGTAGTAGAAAATTCAGCAAGAAAACTTAATTAAATGAGATGAGATTCAAAAGTAGTTACTGTTCTGTAAATTGCTTTTAAGATACACTAGACAAGATACCGAAATACGTCATTCCCGAAGAAATAAATTACAATGTCAGTCGTTACTGAATGAAAATATAAAAGTTCTCTACTCTGTTCTGTTTATTTCTAATCATTTGAATTATCTAAAATTTTATCGCAAGGTCGATCGGCGCCGGTGACACTCTCTCTCAGGATTCGATCAACTCGCTAATGACATAACCGCCATCATCCATCGCTATTATTGTATTATAAATGTGACATTTATCAAATCACAGATTGATCGCGGTTTTAAAACTCGATATATTTGACGATGGTCAAACATTCAAGTAATATTATACGGTTGCCACTTTCTTGTGGGCGATAATCTTCACGTCACATCGATCTGAAATTTTGTTTTGGAAACGACGAAGCGTTTCCATAAGTTTATAAGGTCCACTCAAGAATGGAATCAGATTTCGTATTGGTAAAAATAGATGATACAATATTTTTGTACGGCGTTTGCTGTTGATGGATCGAAATGTGATTTTTTGATAAAAAATTAATGAGCATCCAATCACTTATAACCTAACCTTGAGATTGCTTATACTTCACATCAACGAGAAAAGTAGAATGTAGATCTGAAGACTTCAAAGCTATACAAATAGTTTGCTTTCAGTTTTTTTTACAATACATGAGCAACATTATTTACATTCAACGAAATTACAATTACATTCCCAGTATGAAAACTACATTCACCGAAGTTACAAAGCTTTGAAATCTGTCTTAAACTAACTCAACTTAAATGATCAGACCGATAATGAAGCAATGAAATTATACAGGAAACAAACGATATAAGCTTTATATATACTGAACTGTCATACATTTGAACAGTTGAACGAAGCTTCTGTAAAAAATCAACAACCGCCCTGCGCAAGACCTAAGGCTAAATAAACTTGGCAACACAGTAATTAGATTTAAATTTTGAGATTCTTTACAAAAACACGAAGCAAACAATATTAAAGAATTTCAGTTCCAAATTATATCTTACGATGGCGCCGTCAATACGCTAAGTGCTAATTAGGCTTCTTTTTTCTTGCAGTAATGAGATAGTTTGATTATTTATTTTAAAAGTCGCAGACCCGAGTGACGAAGTCAAACAGATGTCGGCGTCCGCAGATACTCAAACGACGTGACAAAAATAAATCTTCGGGGAAGGAATGTCCAAAGCGTGTCGATCATGTATGCGACTGCAATGAATTCCAATCAAAAAGTGATGGTTATCACCACCCCGTGGTGGATCGGTAAGAACAACTCAAGCAAAACATCAATGCCAGATCACGAACTCGAATCCTTTTGATTATTTAGCAACAAGTCTCTCATACGTATTTTAAATATTCCACATAACCTTCAAGTATACCTGTCGACAGTTTAAAATAAATATACTTCGAACAGAACCACGCCGATACGTATCGTATAGAATCGCCTAGGCTAGCTATAGTCCAATAATGCTTCTGCGACAAGTATTTGACATTGCCTTATTTAGAAAATGTGGACTCTTTTGTTGCTTACGAAGGCCTACAGAATTATTTCAATAATATAAATATATACCATTTTTGCACAAAAATAATGTTGTTCATTCAAAAAAGCACTTGTGAATTCGAAGGACTACTCTACACTGCGGGGGTAATAACCTAAAAGGAGTTGAATAACAATCGTTTACTGAAATTTAAAAACCTCAAGCATTCTATACTCGATTAGTTCTTTATTATTATTGTAATATAATGTGGTACAAATCTGAATGTCATCTTTTTTTAAAAAAGAAGCTATGTGTTTCGAGAACGTTGTTTTATTGGGTTAGTAATCTGATTACTATCACCATATCTCGGAGTGAGAGTGTAATGTTTTAGAAATATATATAATCATAGGAGAACAAGCGTGAATTTGAACAAAAAGTCGCTTTTCCATAACGTTTTAACTATCGTGGCACAATATTCGGATGCTTTAATATTTCTAGATAAGGAGGTAATTTTCACAGATAAAGCTTTATTTTTTAATCCTAAAATGCTTGTGACATATTTTCACTGCAGTCTATAAGTGAAATAAACCATTGACATATTCCTAAAGGCTTAAGGTAATGACTTGTAATATTATATATTATAAGTGTAATAATAAAGCTAAATTCTCGCGTATCTTTACCCTAACTAACCTTGAATGTCTGAAGTGTTTTTAGAATCCCCTCTTCAAAATATCTTCGAGCACAGAGAACTTGAACGTGCAATAATAACAGAAATCATCATAAAACAGCAAATGGCTGCAACCAAGTATGCTTATAGTCATTGCTGTACGATACGCCTCAAATATCACTGTGTTCTTATATACCCCACCAAAGCGGCAATGTTCAGTCCCACATAATGTGTGCCGCGATGCCAAAAAAATTATCGATGAAGACGCAATGGGTATTATGCATGTCAACGGCCGCGTTGCCACAACAGAAGCCACGCATGAATGGTTACCCACGCTTGATTGAGTGTGATCGCACCACAAAGTGTGCCCACAACGTTTTAATGTTGGGCTATAATTTTGCTAATTCTGGTTTAGCATATAGTTTTATTTTCATATTCGGTCACTTCTGAGTTCAAGTCACATATGTCCATGTTTTGCTTGTATTCAAATATTCCGAAGGCCACAAAGGGCATCCGTAAGCTAGGTTAATATCACTGTACATTTAATTATAATTGTGCACACACTACGTTAATTTTTGGAAAAATAAGCATACTGAAAAGTATGCTGTCATATCTGAGAAAAACGACAGTAAGTTACAGTTTTAACCTAGTCAAATTTGTTCATGCACCTCATGTCAAGGTTCTGCGTGGAAATGAACAAATATGAATAGTTCAACATATCCATCATAATTCTCCAAAATCGGGCACTCAAACGAATAAAACTATGATTAGAATTCCTGGCGTTAATTACGTTCACAAACCTTCCGGATAAACAATTTTAATAACAATCCACGATTTAATTAAGACATAGCTTCAGCTCAAACTTTCAGCAACTATAACGCACGATCTCTGACGTCATCGAACTTTTCCCACGGGATCTCGCAAATCTGTAAACTCGGTCTGAAGTCTGCAATACTCGCTTATGCTACTTGCAGAGTGCATTTAATTATTTTGTAAAATACTTTCTCATCTGCTTGCTTCTGGTAGTGTATGTGCCAGATGTGCAAAAATATCACCCAACGTAACACTGCATTCTAAAAGCGTAAACGTTGTTCATACAAAATCAACGCACTGAAGTTCCGATTTCTAGTAGTGCAATTTGGGGTAAGCAAATAAGTAGTTGAAAAACAAGTTCGAGCGTTTAGCATTGAGTGGTGACTTGACGCCTGATCGTTTGCAAACAGACGCTCAAACTATGTACATTTGTCAACTTTGTCAGTCTAGGCTTGAGACACCATAAAATTGCTCCGTGTCGTATAAAAGATATGAATATAAACGCAAGCCATTACCTTATTTCTGAACGCAATGGGAGTTCTCTGTGCTAATCTAGGAACAACCTGTTTCTGATCGAGAATCGTGAACGACTTTTTGTTAATATTTAATGGCACACGACGTTCTCGGTCGATGACAGGATTAGCCGAAATATGAAATATACCTTTCTGCTAATCAATGGTCATTTAATCTACATTAACTTGCGTACAGGGCAAAACCTTACAAGTGTACAGTAATGTAAGTGGAAGTAATGTAAGAATCAAACTTATGTTATGTTTCCTCAATACGACGGCCCTTCAATATCCGGAAAAATTTAAGCATGAAAACAAGCAGTAAAATGTACTAGCATATTTGAACTATCCGACCCCAAACTTCGATATTGTCCATATATGTACATCATTACTAACTCTAAGGATATCATTTATGTGGCAGTTTTTAGATGGGCACGAGTCACGTTGTCCCATTTTTCCTAGATTTGCTGCGTTCGTTTTTTTTTTTACATTGTCACCATTATTAACAGTTTTATGTATTTATAGCCTTTTTTTCGTTAAAAATTTTCCGACGTATTTTCATTCAATACGTTTTCCATAATTCTGTATGCGATGCATCCCACATTAGTTTATCAGATGACCACAAGCAAACGAATAACTTACAATTCACTACCCAATGGCGGTAAAAAACATTCGCGTCGTAGGATGAAATAAATCAGGCTGGCAAATTATCGTTATTATTATTTTTTCTCTATTTGGTGTGAAATTTCTCCGTATACTGTATGTACCGTTCTAATTTTACTGGCGGTATTAAAGGAATATCTTCGCTTTTAATTAATTCGCAATAAAACAATATGCATGTCACCGCTTCTAAGCAACACGAATTAAACCTTCACACTGAGGTTGACTTCGCGCAGGACTATTGAAGCAACACGACGTGATTTTAATAACTAATATTTAATATTTTAAATAACGATATAATTTACGATGTGTACCGCTTAAATCGTACGGTCCAAAAGTTCCCAAAATCTTTCAACAAAATGCGTTTAACGTACTAGTATATTTATAGCTAAATTGCCAGCAAACCATTTTTGATCAACCCGTTTTTCGTTATTCCGCTATAAATAATTCGTAATTCGAAACCGAATGTTTAAATTCCTCCTGAATAAATAACTTTTCAATAAAATACAACTTCTTGGTTTGCAGTAATTCGATATTTATTCATTTTGTAGATCCATATTATTTTAAAATGACGAGTTCATTAAAAGAGATATTTAACAATTTTAGCACGTCTATAAATTCTAAACTATTCAAATAAAAATCGGCCAAGCAATGACTGAAGCTTAATTTCATTTTAAATGTAGATTGATCTTCAGCCAATGCTTGACCCAGCACAAGAAAAAACAACGCTAGACAAAACAATCATGGGGTCAAATTATTCGTAAAATAATAAAAGGGAAGATAGGAAATAGATCATTCTCGTAACGGTTCTTCATCCACATTAATTTGCAGGTGTGCAAGTATCTTTGATGGGATTCATAACGGTGCAAGTACAAGTGACGCGCTTGTTCGCGTTTGAAAATTTGATTTCAGTAGCAACTTGATCAGCCGTTCTCTTGCAAATGTCTGAAACAATAACGAAATCATTATTTTGAAAATATTCACAATAATATGCCGGTACATATAATGTATAAGCAGGTATGAGACCACTATGTATATAAAATATAAACGTATTTGCGCGTAGTTTCTTGGACGTGGTGGCGTAGTCGAATATGGTTAGATAGTTCGGGGCCTTATTTTAAGTGGACATGCGATTAAAGAGTTGTTTGACAGGTGAGAACTTACTTGTCGGGTTGTTTGTAAAAAGTGGCCGCACACCCATTCTTGCTCCTGTCTTAGCTCCCATCTTCTTGCAAATGGTTGGTATGAGAAGATATGACTCGATCAAATCGTTTTTCATGTCTTTGACACATTCAGTTTGCATCAATGGGGATAGATCCTAAAAGAATAAGAATAATTCAGTTTGGCTGTAACAACATGATTAGCGTTTCGGTGGAAACGGAAATGTTGTGCTGAATATATCACAAGTTTTATATGCAATGGCTTACTATAGCTTGTAGAACAGTTTAGTGATACTGTATTTATTCAGTACTCAATCCAATGCTACTGTCCACTGCAGCGACAGATAGCGTGGGGTGTTATTCAGATCGCAGTGTGACTGAAACTATTGCTGAACCCCCAGTACATGACTTTGAATGAGCGGAATACAACATTACAAAGCTTACCATGTCTTCAGGAGCAGCAACTAAAAAGATCTTTCCATATCCTTCTGCAGTCAGTTTGTTTCGATTGTATGCGAAACACATAGCTTTTTCAACTATTTCTTTTGATGGATTAGGTCCGTCCATTGGTGACACTGGAATATTGTTCCATGGCATTGTTCGTGGCATCCATACCATTCCTCCGGTGGCGTTAAAGTGTGGCGCTGATCTGTCGCTCATTCCGCCAAAAGTTACAAAACTAATTTCGTAATCAAGTCCTTCCTGTAATAATATAGAATAATTCAGTTCTAGATTTCTGTGTTCGTTTAAATCAAACAAAGAATAGAAAACGCCTGGAAAAGCAGGAAATGTCATACTGGACATAAGATAAGATTTTTTGAAGGGGTCAGAGACTATACACCAAAGCTAAACTAAACCAGAATTTAAAAAAAAAAATGGTGAATTGGAGATGGATAAAACTGTAAATTTACATTTCGATTTGTTTTAGCTATTAATTTTTTGAGATAACTTACTCGGTTTGCCATAGAACGAACTGCTTCCAAAATTTCTGGCGTCGTTTCGATTGAAGTCTTTCTGTTTAATGCCATTAAAACCGTAACGCGAACTTTGTCTAGATTCTCGCCAACAGTTTTCTTTCCTTTGCAAGCCTCTAAAATGAAAAATATATGCAATTAGATTGAAAAAATGAAGGTGGGTAAACCTTTGACATTGCATATTTACGATGCTATACCATTTGTATATACTGTATGTTTTGTATATCATACCATAGCTAACTCATTCATAAACAGTGTATATTTATGATTGATACAGATTTTGACAGTGATTCTTGCAAATATAAAACATATAACAGCTAATATAAAAAAAAAACACAAAAACAAACCGCATTTTGGGGCCATTTTCACAGGTTTTCCTTCCATTTTGCAAACCCAATTATATTCGGTTACGTATCGACAAGCTTCCATGGTTGATGATGCACCGGTTTGGCATGCCTTCATAAAGGATCTACGTCTATCTGGGCAGGCTTGCATCCATTCGTCGTTGTTAAACAACCGATCACAATGTTCGTGAGATACTTCCGGTTCGGGAGGAACGGTCTACAAAATAATTAAAAAATATTTTTCTAGTAAATGCAAGGTTCTTTAGATATATACGAGATGGAACATGATCTTAAATATCTCGACACAAGTTCAAATAAGTCGACAATCACAATGTCTGCTTTGCCACATTGCAACGTATCCAGATTGAAAAAGGATATTTATGTATTAGATCTGTATAAAAATGTGCTATTCAAGGCACCAGTAGGCTATATATATACTTTTGATTTCAACAGAAAGCAAATGATAAGTTTTCTATGGCAAAACACAATAAAGGCAGATAGATATGTTGTTTATCTTGTAATGCTGCAAGAATTGAATTCACCTCAAATTTGCAACTGAAATATATAGGTGAATTTTTGGTCATGAATATCACGAAGGTGTAAACGAAATGGGCTCAAAGTAAAAATGAATCCTTACTCCGACGTGGCAAGATTTATCAGTGCTGTAGTATTCGATGAATGCTTCCATTGTAGGTGCAACCTGGCCATTTGTCATTTCTCTTTCTCTGACGGCTGTGGTGTTTCCTCCTTTGCCAAACATACCAAAAGTCTTTGGGCAATATTCTTCTGCCACCTGAAATAGCGATTGTGATTAATCAAAATTGGTCAAATAGAATAATTAGAATTCAGAAAATAACATGTTTGAAACTTACATCAACGAAGAAAGATGTTCTGACATTGTTCTGGCAGTGAACTTTAAGATTAAAGTATGGTGTCCAACACATCATCATATCTTCAGTTCTAGCGCACGAGACTTTTGGCGAAACAAACATAGGCAATGAAACTTCTCTTCTTTCTTGTTCACCAACCCTCTTAAGATATACTTTCATGTCGGGAGCAATGGTAATATGCATGTCCGGAAGATCTGAAAACATTTTATGAATTTCGAAATCCATCTGTTGTAAACTATTGAACTATTACACAATCGTTCTACATTTTATTTATCATATACCAATGGAAAAATTACCATGATTAAAATGACTGTGTATGATTACCTTAGGACTATGACCTAACAATATAAAGCAGACACAAACGCCCAAGTATTTTAATATTACTTACGCATGACAACCTCGTTCTTTTCAAGAGTGACTGTGAATTTCCTTTCTTCGCCAGCAAGTAAGTAGGAACATTTCCTGACTCTCTTCGGCATGTTGTACATGTAGTTGTTGAAAGAGATTACTTGTTCAATTTTATTTCCAGACACCATTCCGGATACACCTGAACAACATTGGATTCTCAGATAAAGAAAGCATTAAAACTATTATTACAAAAAAAATGATACATTATAGCAAATTCAGCAACGTCGATATTATCATTCCAAGGTACTCACAGTTAGAAGTACGCAGTGCGTTCCTGGCCCATTGTTTCATGTAATAGTAGTAGGCATACTGATTGTATTGTGGATTAATAGCACCAGTGTAGTCTCCCACTGATGTTATGTATTCTGGAAGTTCATATGCGAGCTGGTTGGAAACAAATCCCGACTGATAGAAGATCTGCCGAATTCGAAAGAAACTGTCAAAGATCAGCCAGACAAACATTCCTGATTTACTTTATTATTATGAAGTAATTTTAACATGATATGAGTAGAAAAAGCTTATTTCTACATACCAAAGTTGTAAAATAAGAATTACAGTGGCAAACAATAACAACAATCAATGTATTGTTGAATAATTGCTTCTATTATAAACGCAGTTTTTTATATTGCGAAACAGTCTTCATATGACATAAAAGAATATTTGAGACATACCGTTGTCAAATCGTAAACTCCCCAAGTGATATCTTTGCACCAACCAATCAGTTCTTCAATTCCTTCTTGTACTCTGTTCGTTAAATTTCTAATGTCGATTCCTTTGCCGGCTGCTATCATGTCTTTCACCCAATCCATTATTTCAATTGCACCTTTCCATATGTACGCTGAAAAATAAATGTATCAGTTTGATGAAAATGTAACAAAAATTTTTTTTATCAGCCTAGCAATATTATCAAAATTTATGAGCACGCTCGATCATAACATTATTTTTGTGATGTATTCCAGTAAAATGGTATATATAATTCAGATTTATTCAATAGTATTGGCTAATTTTGTAAACATTATGCAGTTTAGTGTTTGTATATTAATCCAAAAATGCAGACGAATGTGTTATAGTTGGCCTACTTTAGAAATAATGTTTTGATATACTCACAGTATGAAGTACTCCAGATATCTCCAATTGCTTTAAACATGGATGAAATTTGTTTCCTGCAATAATCGCTAATAAAACTGATGTCACGGGCGAGGTTTGAAGAAACTGCTTCCTTGAATGCCGGATCGTTTACAACGCAGGTCTACGAAACAACAAATGCGATACTAATCAACCCACAATTGGCAAACAATTCGTCCCGATAAACCATTGGCGGTCAATGGCCCCCAGTGGCCCCCAGTAATACTGCCGTTGTGATTCGCTAGAGATCTTAGAATGAATTATTGGGAAGTTTAAGGTCCAACGTAACATTCCAGATTATATAAGGCCTAATGAATTGATAGACTATAATTAAAACCGTATAATATCCAGTCTTTTCAAACCTATAAATGACAGAAGTGAAAATCCTCCATAGATTTTTGCCAGATTTACAATCTAATTGTTATTATAAAATACTTACATCTTCAATTACTCGTCCAATGCGACTGGCACTTGGCGTGTTTCCAACAATTGCATCGCTAACAAGGTTGATACATTTGGCACCAACGATCAATGGTTTTACATTACAGATGGCAGCTGGGGTTCCTCTTGAGCCAGACTAAAATCGACATTGCAAAATTAACGTTAAAGTCTAATTATTAAAACACAAAAAATAAAAAGTATCTATTAGTTTACGTAAGACAGTAACATTTTATTATTTGTGTATTGCGTCGCAAACCACAATGGTAAAGCAATAAACATAGTTTAAGATATTGGTGGTTGGTGATATACTGCAGAAACCTTACCTTATATGGGTGACATTTGACGTCGGTTGAAAGCCACGTGTTGAATCTAGCGTCACAGGTATATCTTTGATTTGCAGTGAATCGTAAAGACATAAACGGTGGGTTGGGTACAGACATTTCAGAAATAGACATTTCTGGCCAGAAGACAACTTCTACACCGTTGCGAGTGGTAGCGAGCCCGAATCGTCCCTTTATTGGTAAAACACGGATTCCTCTGACTTCACATTCCATCCAGCCCCATGCAAAGTCGTTGCTAAGACTTGAGTTGACTACACCCTCAGATGTCATAGTAACGACAACTTTGTTATTCAAAATTGGGAATCTGTAAATAAATATATTCGAACTCTATTATTCACAAAATCTTAATTTTAGAAGAAAAAAACCTGGTCAATTTGAACACGTATATTTATTTAAAGTATATAGCTACAAATGCGCAAGATTAAAGCTTTTTTTATATTTTGGGAGTTGGAAACTCTTTGAAAATTAAAAAAAAACAGCAAGTAAACTCGAAATCAATTGTTTAACTTACCTAGGAGACCTCATTGACATCAGAATTTTGCTTTTACCGAGAGTTGTTGGGCATCTCGTACATCTTGAAACATTGAAAACGCCAGTTGGTTCAACATATTCCAAAACAGCAGCAGAGTAGTGAATCATCGGAGCACAGTATGGATACATCATGGTAACAATCTCAACCATTCGACTGAAATCCCAAACTAAAATTCCGCGTGGTCCTCTGGAAGCTTCTACTTCACCATTGACGTATGACATCATTGATTCTGTGAAAACGTAATAACAAAAAATGACGTCATAACAGGATCAGTTGTTAAATGTTTATTGAATCAGAACAATTCTTTCGCGTTAAAGATCATGAACGATTCTATTAAATATATTAAATAAGTAAAGATAAGCTTTTTTAATTTTACCGTAAGAGAGGGTCTTGTATTGTCTGGCCGCTCTGACGTATTTTGATTCATTTTCACGGCCTGTCTCAGGTTCTGGCGCTGGATCAGACTTGAATTCATTGACCCATCTTCTGCATAATTCGTTGAAAGTGTTGGCAAGTCGTTGACGAATCTTAGGGTCGTGTATGTTGAAATTCTAACAAAATAATATACTTTTACATCGCAAATTCATTGCTATGAGATACCATAATTTAATAAAATATTTTGAATTAGTTAACTAAAGTAGTTATGTTCTAGTTATGGAAAAGAAATACCGGTATTTATGCACATTGCTATACATTTTATACATTGCTAGGCTTTACATTATTTTTAATTTTTTATTTGTCTCAGATGGAAATGCTAGTTCAAAATGGGGAAGCAATTTTTTAATTTTTTTTTGAACTCAATGAAATGCTACATAGAACTAATATATCATAGATCTATTTCAGTATAACTCATATGGCCGAAGTTTTAATTCTAACTGTAATCTCTGGGTCTGTGTATATACCTCCAATAGTGTCTTATCAATGGATGACGTATCTTTGTGGCATGCGTTTATTGTTCTGAATAAAACAATCATTGTTCTGATTGTTCCTGTGATTGCTCCAGTAGATGCGTGCGGAAGATCTTCGATGTTAAGGTCCCAGTGTGCAAACATGGTAGCTGATGACGGATTACGTGGAATTTCTTCGCCCTGGTATATAAAAATATCATGGTTTTATGAACGTGAGTTTTTGACCGTAAATATTATATTTATTCATAAGATGCTTTTATGGTGAATTCATTCACGAAAGTAACGTACCTCGATAGTATAGCAATGGAAATGCAGTATTGGTGTATGAATGGATGGCCTTCCGCCTCTGCAACCGTAATGTTGACCGCTATTATCAGCAACAATAATATCTATTTCATACAACCCTGGTACGGCAAGGTTGGGAGCCATCCTCACTTCTATGAATGAGGCGGATTCTTCCGGTAGACCAAATCGCACTCTGTCGATATAGATCTTTGCTCCCGCCAATCGCGCGTCGCTTGACATTTTCACAAACGTATTGGAAGTTGTAACATTCACAACCATTTCCATCCATGAAAGTTTTCTTGCGCGTACAGTGGTTGTGAAATTGCACATTGGGAATCTGGATTGAATAAACGTAGAAAATCATAAAAATTGTCAATCTTTATATATATATTTGCGACCAATAGTATACTGTTAAGCAACATGTCAATCATCTTATATCTATCATATATACTTTGGAACATAGTCGGTCTCGCGACATAATTTTTTTGCAAAAAATAACATAAATATGGATGTTTTCGATAAAGTACAATATTAAACACAGCAATAAAAAACATTATAGTTTATTAAAGAATGTTTGTATTACACAAATTTTACTTAATGCAAAGAAAGGTGTTAATGTGCTTTTTATGCAATTTTTTGTCATCATTGCTTGAGTTAAACATTTTGTTATAGATTTCATTTATTTTACATTAAATATTTTTACCTTGATGAGTAGATATGAGTGTGAATGATTATTTCGCCGTTCTCTACTTCACATGTTGCAGCAACATGTCCTTCCAACATGTAGCCGACAGCATCAAAAACTGGTGCTAGGATATTCTGCACGACGACTCCCAATTCCCCGGTGATGTCTATATTTGAAACATACGCGACTAAATCGTTGTAAGTTTCTCTGACGTTTGGATCCAGTTCGGAAGATTTTCTCAAGAATTTTGAGATAATGGTTGAGACTTCGTCAGTGTAAGAATATTTTGTTGCTTCGTGAAGGATGGAAGCTATAAAAAAAGCAAAATCAGAGATTATGAAGATATTTTATATCAGTTAATTATCATTTAATGCTAAATACACATGGCACAACAGTCACGCTATGAAACAGCAGGTATCAGCAACTGCACTTTAAATCTTTGCATATCTTTGAATGATTACTTGTCCTTAATTTAACACAGGTGTTGTAAAATATAGTATAATTCGTTGTGTACAAAATTTTATATGTCGGATTATTCACCTATAATGTAATGAGTCATCCTTGTCGGCATTCCGTAAGTTCTCGGGAAAATCGTTTTGTAGGCGCCCTCAGGTGTATATCTCCCGAAGGTCATAAGTGCTTGCTTAATCTCGTTGCGGTGGTTTCTAGAGCCAATGCGAAGTACCTGGCAATATCATAAAATACTGCTAGTATTCCCGGACAGGTCATCTTAATTGTGATTTTGAGCAAATTGAACTTTTAGGCAATATGAAGCAATATGTAATTTATATAAAACAATTTATTACTCAAGCCTCTGCGTAACAAGCCTGGTGACGGTATTATCAATTTGAAAATATATTGCCACATTTGAATTTTTTTTTATACTTCTCTGAGAACTCGATCCATGTCGGTGTAGTCGTAAGTGCTTAGTTTAGGTACGGATGGAAGATCGATCTGTCCAATAGGTTCTGCTCTAGCAATTCCCTGTGAACAAAACAGTAACATCAGAAATAGTTCTGTAAGGTATGCACTGAGCTGAAAAATTTGATGTATTCTCTTTCGGAAACGATGTTAGCTATCTTCTTTAGTGGAAGGTGTTTTGAATTCAACGTGAATAGGATTTGGCATGTATAAGAAATACGAGTTTACACCTAATCTATGTTGAATAGTCATACAATATAGTTAGTTGCTGCAACATCGCGGACAGTTAATTAGTTTTTCCACATTTTCGACCGTTTGGCTTCGTTTACATCATCAAAATACTTTCATCTACAAGTGATTTAAAACGAAAAGGCCTAGAATAGAATTACAATGCGGTAAAAAAGGCTGGGGGAGATGAAACATTTCTAAATGCTGTACATATAGGATGCATTTGTACATTTCAATATTTTATCATCCAAGTTTCGTACCTTGTATAACTTGATGTTTGTTTCAGTCCAATCGTCAGGGCGTGTGAGAATATCACAAGCGTACTCCGCCACGCCTGCATGCATGAACAGACAGGTAATATTGTTACGTCCATCTGATGTCCTTGCTTGATTCATCACGAGTACGACTGATTTTTGACAATTCTCCGCACACGCCTCAGCAGTTAGAATTCGGACGCTTTGTGCGCTAACTCTGGCGATGACACGAGCTTTGTAGGGATTTATTTCGACAGTGACGTTTGCAATTCTTTCACCTTCAACTTCTTCGGTTCCAATAGTGAGTCCTCCATTAAGCCATTGGAAACTAAACAATTAACATAGAATTTTAAATGTGATCAAATTGTGGTCGCAATTTCTCACAGGCGACAAGTATACTTTCAAATATTCGAACATATAAAAGAACAATCCAACTCACTTTTGGGAGCCAATTTCTGCAAGAATGACGAAATTGTCTGCCTTCTCCAATTTGATTCCAGTTTTTATTTCTACGTAAGGCTGGAAATTCCAATGTACAAGACTAATTTCGCCTCCCGCTAACAATTTCTTTACATAGCTGGAGGGAGAGAAGCTTTGCTCAGTCGGGAAGAACATTACGTAACCGGGAATGTAGCTGAGAGATTTGTGGATAACATATTCTGAAATAACAAATGGATTAAAAATAAATAGTTAACGTCAGCTATATATCAAACAGCACTTCCCTCTGAAGCGACCTGAGTGCCGATATCTTAGGCTGTTTTGGTAACTGTAACTGCATTTACTACGGTAACTGTAGTTTTGCCGTATGTGCTAAATGTCTTGGTCGCTGAAGAAGTTTAGTCTGGGTGGAATTTATTATTTACCTGAAACCGTACCAAATATCAACGTAGGACTGAAGGTGCTTTGCGACGCCACCTTGACTAATTTGAGTCAGAAGGGAATAACAAGGCGGTGGCCAGCGGGGCCTGGAGTTCCTTACAAAAATAACAAGTTATACGTGTTGTACAAATACTTAATCAGCATATTATTTCAACCCTTCATCAACGAATGGCCAAAGTAATAACTGCATACATTGTTACCTCCAATCTCTGGCTTGATGATATAGTACATTTTAGGACCAGAAATCCTCTTCATTTCATTTAGGCATGATTGGTGTACTCCTTTTATTTTTTCGGCAATTTCGCGACAAATATTTTTGTTTGTGCATTGGATGGTCTGAACATGGGATAAAAAATAAGCTGTAATAGTTTATGAACGAGTGTGTCTAATTATTTCTGTAATATTATATTTTACCTTCTGCAAATCTTCAGCCAAATCTATTTCGCTGTATGTGACTACTTTGTATAAGTATTCAACACATGTGGCCAAGAAGACAACTTTGTCTCGAACAAGATAGTCACCCATGAAAGGGAAATCCTGCATTGTTACAGGCATACTAGCGAACTTGGTTCTTTCGGATCCCTGCGGAGTAAAAAATCATTTTTTGGTTGGCTTCGTGTTCGGTTTTAACAGGCTTCTTATTAAATAAATAAACTCATTGAAAATCTAATAAACTCATTAAATTGCACATTGTTCAGATTGCATGCAATCCATTTTACCCGAACTTGTAATTTCGTGTCATTGCTTTTCTCATCAATATTACGCTGAAAATCAATAAGATACCTCAAAAGATACATGAAAATACTATTTGAAATTACCTGTAGCTTATGGCAGTCTAGTGTTGCTCTGCTGTTTTCATTTGCCATTGGTGTTGATTGGCATGATATACGAGACCCATCCTGTGACTTAAATGTCATTCTACACAGTTGTCCGCCGCTTTCCTTAACGTATTCTATTTTTCCACCTGCTTGACTATTCTTCATTCTACATTCAACTTCTTTAGGATCCACCTTATATCCTTCACTGATGAGTTTTGCAGTGCATGTTGAGTATTGGCATTCATGTCTCACGTCCCAGTTGGTTTCCAAACCGACACGAGAGGACTCGAAATAGATCGTTTGGTTGAGTGCAGGTAAACTGAAATTTGATGGTAGAATAACACATACATGACCATGATTTCGACTTTATTATAGATAATAGATATTGGTTCTTGGCAATAGGGATTAAAACTGCAAAAAATATTTATTACAAGACTAAATTTACCTGCCACATCCAAACTTGCACTTGTATTGTTTGCCGGTTTTTCCTAATTCGAACTCGACAGTACCGAACTTGCACACGCAACTTGGGGGGGTTTCTCCTCCATAATGAATGTCTATCTCCTTCATCCATCCGACTGTTTTCATTGTCAAATCCATCTTTGTTGGTAGGAATATTCCAGTTCCTTTTGCAGTGTAGTCCAAATTCATCCTGAACGACACGAAGATGGGAAACAAATTAAATCAAATTGATATTTTGATTCATTCATTATAAAGCCATAAATTGAAAACTTCAAAAAATATTAAAATCAAAAACATTTTGGAACATTTTTTGGTGTAATCGTAAAATACTAAACTGAACTGATTTAAAAACGTACCATTTGCAATTGATAGTGTCGTGGCATTGCCATTCCATGGTTGCTGGATCCCAAGACATTTCGTGAGTTCCCTTCCCAACACTTCCGCCAATTGCAAGGTCGAGTTGACAAGATATTTTACGTGGAGTAGTGTAATCAACATGCAAATTTCTGATTATTCCATTCGGCATTTTTAGTGTCATTTCGCAGGAGGAAATCGAAATTAAATTGGACGCTTTTATTGTTGTGCCCACTGTCATCCTGCAATGCAATATTTGATGATAAATTTGAATACTACCTCAATATTGACCATGTTTTCTTGTTCTAACCGGCGTTATCATCAATTTTATTTTTACAATCATAAATTGACAATGAGAAATTGCAGTCACGTCTTGCAAATTTGCATGTTTAAAAAATAAAAAATAATTAAATATATGTATATATTGTATATCAAAAGCCAAATTTAATATCGATATAGGGTATTTTACTACAAAAAATCTTAACTCACCATGGGCATTCAAGCGAGTGTTTATAATCCCAGGCCCAAGTTTCTGGATTGCAAGAAGTTTCTAGGTCGTGTTTCAAATGCCAGCCGCCGTTTGATAGGTCAACGTCGCATTTCAATTTGTTCGGAGACAAAGTAGCAGTAAAACTCATAGTCGTTTCAAGGTTTGTACCTGGTTTCCTGAAGTTGTAGGAAATTTGATGAACGTTGGAATCACCTGACTCTTCTCTACTGAATAAGATGTCGCTGTTCCTAAGCTCAAGGTCGGAAATTTCACGAGGGCGATAAAACCAGCTGAAGGGAAGGTAGTCCAAGGTTATTTCATTGGCGAGTTTTGAGGACGTTAATTTAATATCTTTGAGATGAACTTTCTTCGGTATGCACCACGCAAAACTCTCTGGACAATCCGATATCTCAACGTTGGTGTTAAAAATCATCTGAGCTTTTTGGTCGCCCGATTTTTGAGGAGCTTTAAATTTGGAATCCATACTCATGCTCCATTCGTCTTTAGTGCTCTTGGAGATGACGTATCGATCTTGTCCTTCAAGGAATGGTAAGGTGTAAGTGATATCGGAATCAAAATGAGATGGAACACAAACACTGACTCCGGGAAGAATTGTCATTCGCTTGTAGCATTCAGTCATTGTTGTCGTTGATTCAGATGTATAATAATTGGTACCAATCTTTTCCGTTAGTGCGATCTTAGAAGTGGTTCCAGACACGGTTGATACCATGGTAATACTGATTTCCCTCGGTATTGGAAGCCACATTGAGTGATTCAGTTTGTAAGCAAAGTTCATTGGCGGGAAATTTGCAGTTTCAGGAGTTTCTCCTAACTCATTTGAGCAAGAAATTGTAAAAACTGGAGACAATGATTTTGTTTCCCAGCCAATTCTGCTCAGTTCGCACATGCTTGTTGTTATCCATTTGTTGTTTTCTTTCTTGTTGTCCCACATCATTTCGATTCTTGAGTTCATGATCGAAATCACATATTCAAAGTGATGTTGCATGGGTTTAGATGGATCAAACAGAACATCTAAAACAAAATTTCTCCCTGGATCGGATAATTTTACAATGATCTTGTCGAAGCTGATGTCACAGCTTCCTTTGACTTCAATTGGACGGGAACCTCGACAAGAGCTCGATACAGTAAACGAAATATCTCTTGCAGACAAGCCTTGGAGCCTTCCGTCTTGATATTCCCAACCAACGGTAGTGTGGGCCATTTCAATTTCTCGTCCGTAAAAGAAAGGTATTCTCAAGTTTTCAATGCTCATCTTGTTTGGCCGAATACGGGCGTCGCACAAGTATATCCATTCAGTAGGTCTTTCCGAATCTCGTCCGGTTTCAATAGCAAATTCCAGGTCGGTCATTTTGATGTCACACAAAAATGCTCTTGGTTTGGAACCGATCTTGATTCTTGCGTCCAATGGTTTGTCAAAATTGAGAATAGCGTAGTTAACGCTCATATTGTTGGAAAATAAGCTTCCGCCGACGTTTACGGTGTTCCAGTAAAACGCGTACTTAGCAGAAGCAGAATTCGCAGCAACGTTTATTTTATTCTGTAGCCAAAATGTCTTAAAACTGCTGATGATTTCAAGTCCAGTGTTAACGCTTAATCGAACTGATGCATTACAAATTCGACTTGCGATACCCATTCCAACTGAAGATGCATCTTTTTTGATCGTGAGGTTCAAGTGTTTGACACCCCATGCAATTTCATTGACCATTTTTGTTTCCAATTCGTAAGAATTTCGTCCTTCGGAGTATTTGATAGAGGCATAGTCATATTCCTTTTCGTTCGCCAATCTTCTGTATTGTATCCAACTGTCTCCCTCATTTAAAGTTACTTCACCACAAATTTTGTTAGATTCAGAGGGACACAAAACTTTCAATATCAGATTGTTTCGTCCTCCTGCAATTTTATTCGAACTGCCGATGTACCTATACACTTGAGTATCATTGCGCGGTCGGTATGTCTTTTTGTAGGAACCAGAAATGTCATATTCCGAATTTAGGTCAGATTTGAGCATTGAATAATCCAATATAGACTGATGTTCTAAAGCTGGGTAAGAACCGAACGTTGCGTTAAGATAACCTTTGATGTCTTCCGATTTAGTATAATACAAACTGCCTTTCAAAACACAACCATTTCCTCCGAGAATCGTTTCTGAGCGAAGAGACATTAATGGTTTTTCTTCTCTTTCGACGCTGACATTGAAGCTCATATTTGATTTCAGTGCTATCATTGGAGCGTCAATGGTACAGACTGTCTGAACTAATTCCGGTCGTTGAAGGTGATACAAAGCAGAGCAGTTTGCAGCGTTCTGAAGCAAAGCACCAGAGACATGTAGATTTTGTGGGCCTCCAGTTTCACTTGAAGCATAGAGTTTGTATCCCACTTGAACATAGTCGTTTTTCAAATTATTTATCAGATAGTATGATACGTACGGTCGGAAAGTAATGTAGTCAAGAAGTGAATAATGAAGTTTAAGCCATTTTTCTTCCTGAAAATACTTTGCATTGTATCTGGAAACACTATTGAGTTTAACTTTTGGGTGGTCGACGATAAAACTGTGGCAATAGCCGCATTCTTTATAATTAGTATATTTACCGGTACCTCTTTCGGACTTGTACTTTTGTTCTTCTTGGTTCCATAATTTATGGCCAAAGTTAATTTCAAAGTCTCGGTCCCCGCTAGGTTGTCTCTTTGTAAAGAAGGTGTAATTGAGGAATCCCCCAGCATTGCTGCGCCCACTGTATCGTTGAGGGGAATATGCAAATTCTAGCTCTTCCGAGTTTACTCTATAAACAATTGGAGTTTCTGGAAAGTTGACCTTACAGTGAGAAACTATGTCATCTTGTGCGTCTACTTCAGCCTCAAGTTCCAGATCGAGCCAGTTTGATATCAACCATGTGGAGGTGCTGAAAGCGGCCGAACCTGGTTGCTTCAGTGTACCTTTAATTCTGTGGGAAATGAAATGCGGATTGGCGTCTCCACCAAAATGCCCAACAGTTCGCATAACTTTCTCATATCTTTGTTCGTTATCGTATGTCATCATTTCGCATTCAATTTTATTGTAATATGGAACTGACGGACCAGAAAGAACAGTCCTCGTCTCATATCCAGACATCCCATCAACTGCAGATGGTACCTTCTTCGCTATGAAGTCATAAGATAGATGAGGCGCGTTACCATTAAGCATATTGATAAAATCTACATTTATTTTCCTTGATGTATTTGATCCTTCGAGAACTTCGTCCAATGCTCCTGTAAGTCTATATCCGACAGTCACCTCATCTCTAGCATCTAGACTCTTGCTTCCACCAAATATTACGTATCTTTTTGCCTGTATTAAAAATAGAATTTGAATTAGATATATTTTCATATATTCTTATATTTAGCATTACAAATATTCTATACTGGATGTTTTATTAATTTTTCGTTTATACTATAATCAATATTGAAGATTTAGGAAGAAGAACCTAGAGCGTTTGATATAAATAAATTTGACAGCAAATATTTACAAACACCTGATCAAATCATTTTTAGTGAAAATCTTAACTGTACGGATTTGATTCAGTCTAATATTTCACACTATGATTTATATCTTACGGATTTTGGAACGATTCCAAATGTTGAAATATGTCGAATATTGAGACTGTTCCAACTAGAACGGTTAAAACTTGAAAAACATCCTTCTACGAGTGAAGTTTCTGGGTTGCGGTAAAACAAAAAGTCTGTTTTTCCTTGAGATTTCATCCATTCACAATCAATTTTCCAGTGCATTTCACCTCGATCAGCAATAGTTCCTATGACGCTGGACCACATTACTTTCTTAGCAGATGGAGCAGCTCTGTTTACAGCAGTGCACTATAAAATTAATGTATCATTGATTTGTATCAAAGTATATCTTTTACAGTTCTATTTTAAAATTCATTTTTATCAACACGATATTATAAAGTTTTGTAACCTAATAACATCAAAGCTTTGGCACTGATATAAATGATATATCAGAGCATTGAGATACTTCTGCATGCGTTTTTATATTCGTAATAGTGCGAAATATTTCTTATCTACCGACCTCAACTTTCATGTCTTTCACCCTCAATTTTGTTTCAGGTTCAATGCTTGTTTCCCATTTGAATTCTGCTTGATATTCGGTATCCCATTCATTTTCAATATTCAATTCATATGCAAATCCTTCCTCATTAAATGGCTGAACATGAGATTCGAAGTTAAATAGGAAGGTTTTAGAAATGTGGAAAAGAATCAAATGTCGTTAAACATTATAAGATATCAGACTATTGCTTGAATTTTTCTAGTTTGAAATATCGTGGCAATGTAGTGGATTTGTGGATTTGTTAGTAGTGTTAACAACTTTACATTATGAAAGGGACTCAGCACCATCGTGAAGCCTAATTAGCTTCGATATATTTGTCTGATTGTAATATAATAATGTATTGTTTGCAATAAATAGGCAAGTTGCTTACTTGGTGGCAAACTTGTAAATTACACAAGTTTCTCATTCTATAATCTATGCAAACAGACGCAGGTGGGTCAGCAGCACTTGGACCGGTCAGTGATCTTCTTCCCCTGGAAAAACAGAGAATAGGAATATAAATATTTCAGTTCAGCAGCCAGATTATGGATAATTATCAAGCTATATATTACATTAAAATGCTCTGTAAATAATAGGTCTTTAGTAAAAACAGTGTCGGATTTAGACGATGATGGGCTCCAGGCTATGCCCTCTTTTAGGTCCCTCTACAACAATGACGTCACAAAAAATCCAATATTTTCACGGTTATGAAGAAATGTATTTTAAAATCATAAATGAAATTTTTAATTACACGAATTCCGAAATTTCAGTCCAAGGCAGATTAGTTAGTAAGTTGGATTTGAAATGCTATAGTCATAACCAGTCCAGAACCAGTCATAATACCCGTCATCAAAGTCATAATACCCGTTTCTAGTGGTGTGGGGGCGTGGCCCAATTACTGATGAATAATATCATTATTCCATTATTTGAAATAAACAGGTCTACGATAAAACGAAGATTCAAAAAAGTAAATAATATAATAGGTATTAGATTCGTTGCTGCTAGCATGAATTGATATAGCTATACATATATCGATATTTTTTTTTTTCAAAAAATAAAGGCATTATTACGTAAAAATTGAAATGAAATTGAAAATTACGTGAAATATTTACAATTTCGATCTTATTAGAAATTGTCAATTGATTTTGTATTTTGTCGCAACGTTGTACACTTAAATTACTCCGAGTTTCAACTATTGCATCGGACAATAAAAAGAGATAATTGTAAAATTTTATACTCTCACTTGTAGTAAAGAATCTGACTTTTTCCTGGTTTTGGTTTGCAGACAAAACTGACGCCAGTTGGGTTGGTAACTGCTGTGCAATCTACTGCGCTTCCATGTCCGATTTTGAATTGAAGTTCCGTTCCACAAGATTCGCTGAACTGCGCTAAGATTGTTCGACTGATTGATCCAGTGACGTGAAGTCTTTGAGAATGAACAAGAATGGAATTTTAGATGAAATAGTAGTAATTATATTGGAAATTTTTGATTCATTTTTACTTCCCGCGTAAACTTCAATTGTTAGGTCTTTTCTCGCTGATTCTACGGTGTGCTTGGGATAAAAATATATATCCTCACCATGAGAACAATGGGGTATATACAATCACACTAAATTAAAGATATATACATGTAAACCTGCTTCTAATTTTTTTATGAAATAAGTGAGAAAATAATGAAATAATATTGATTTACATACTCTGGTGCAATATGGAGAACGGCTCCTTCATTCGGAGAGGAAATCATTCTTCTGATACTTGCTCTCAAATTGAGCTTACTTTTAAAAACATAGGAAAGATCAATTGTAGAAATGATTGGGGCTCCAATGCACGTTGGAGAAGCATGTTGCATCAAGAATGGTTGCCCGGCAACAAATTTTTCATGTTCAAAGCCATCTTCAATGATTTCATGGATCTTAAAAAAGAATTATTTTGTTACAAGACAACGTTTTAAGATAATATGTTATCGATAAATAATTCCTGATCGTGTTAAAATACCACCTACCTTCCAAAGGCTTCCGAGTGTCAACTTACGTATTTGTCCAAAACTTGTTAAAGTATCAAGACTGATGGGATAACCCAAAACTTTCAGATACACGGGAGATCTCGGTTCAAACAAGCTGGCAAGGTATGCAAATTTGGCCTGAAAAAATACACTCAATTTATAATCTTATTCAAGAAAAATTCTTGTTTGCTCATCGACCTACTGACTGTATAATATTAAAAAACCGTTGGTCGAATATATACTAATCATATATATATATAAATATTTAAAATTCGGCAATTCATGGTGGCATATTGGATCAAATGATTCCGATTTTTCAAAACACTAAATAAATAGAAACCCGTACTTCGTCACGAAGTTCGTTCCAGGCTGGATATTGCTTAGCATACGTTTGAAGTTCGTTTATTGGCGTTTTTAGTAGTTTTCCGAATAATTCAGCATACATTTGGTTGTGACCAAATATTCTATCCAACACCGGCTTCATACCAGCAATGTCCATAGCGGCCTCAAGGATTGTCATGTTTCGGCCGTTTATCTTCAAAAGTGATTACATAGGAAAGTTAATATTTGATAAGTATAAACAAAACTATTAGTATGGTATGAACAAACTGAATTGGATCATTTATTTATTTTTATGGGCAGGACATAAATATTTCAAAATCTGATGAATTAATAAAAAGATTCTTAAAAAAGTAGCAATTTCTAATTTTATGAAGAAATTCTTTCACTTTCATATTTTATGTAAAAACTTATTGATAGACTTATTGACTTATTGATTGATAGTTTTTATGAAATTCAAGTTTCAAAAATATGGATCTTCTTACCATTGCCTCAACAGTCAGTTTAGACATGATTGGCATTATGGATCCTTTGTTCTCGTAAGCTGATGTTAATCTAACAGTGCAGTTTGATGTCACGTTGATATACGGAATCAAAATATTCCTTGAGATTTCATAACTTTTCTCAACTGGTTTCTGTTGTAAGATTTCGTCTGAAATTCCGATGTCCCATTTCTTCCTGAGAATTACTCTGGCGCATTGTTCAGCGACTCTGAGAAAGAATGATATTTAATAAAAAATCATTCTTGTGGATATAAACATATTTTATGTAATGACAAAACTTCATTATTGAAAATATTTCATTTCGAAACCGAACACTTACTGTGGATGCAGGTTGCAGAATACAGTTCCTCGTAAAACTAATTGGCTTCTCAGATCATCTCTGCAATGCCTTACTAGTGATGGGTGCTCGTTCTCATCCATAACTATACAATATAAAACAAGGTTTTATATGTTTAAACGGAACTAAAATTATTTAAAAATAAAGTTTTTAACCTATAACTAAGATGATGAGTATTCATCGTTCAGATGTGGATGTTTTCATATGGTTCACAGGCTGCTAGGACCCAAATGTAAATTATGAGGTATATATATAACTTTTCTGGAATGCGTCACATTTACAAGAAACTAACTTCTTCGCATGTTTGACGGCATGAATCATGAACTAAACCAACTATAAAAGTAATGTTGTAGCTTCGAATATTTGTAATTTTAAAAAAAAATTACCAGTTGTCAATATTTTTTCTACTGTTGCAGTTGGAAGATCTTTCTTCATCAAAACATGGAAGCAAGTAACACGAGTTTCAAAGTTTGCGTTCTTTTTTGTGAAAACGTCAACCAACTTTTGCATTGCCTAGAATTGTCAAAACAAAACAACTATAGATTAACAGAACAAAAAACGAAGTAAATGTAATGTACATTCAGCAAATCGCCTATATTACCAATAATAGTAGTCATTTATGTGAATAGAAACTTGCCATCATTGTTAATAGTTTTGCTGTCAAATACAATGTTATTCTATTCTATTATTATCTAGAGGGATGCAGTGTATATTATTAACTATTACTGAAGGCTTACTGATGCTTCCAATCTCTCGGAAGTTGTATTTCCATACGCCACTATCGCTTTTACTGCAACTCGGGGTGGCGCTTCAGGGTTTACAGCACATGCCAGAAGAGTTTTCGAAGATAACACCGTTTCTCCCTTTCGTCCCAATCTTCCTAGGCATTCGGCTGCAGCAACCATAACTTCTTCTGCAAAATTGAAATATAATGTAAAGAGACGAAATAATTCTTTATTTATAGTACAATATGGACATAGACTAATATATATATATATATAATTGTAAAAGAGTTATAATATATAGAAGTTTTCAAAAATCACAGATATTCAATTGCAAAAATAATATCATACCGGTTTCGGGGTTGTTAGTTTGACAGTTTTTCTTCAATTGCCTAACGAGGAACGATTTGGCAGTTTCAACCGGTTTTTGGTTCAAGCAATCACTTCCGCAAGTTTCCAAGAAATTCTTTGTTACAGCTCCCAAGGTATTTACGCATTCGGGTGTAGTTGGTTCTTCCGATCTGCATATTTTCTATTAAAAGAGTTAACTCTTAAGCTCTATGGTTTCTGAACTTTTAGACTATATTGTTTTCATGACAAAAGTTATTTTATTTGGTATTATTTATATAACGTCTTTCTAATAATTATTAATTTAATAATATAATAATTAATAAGTTGTTAGCAATGAAAACCTTTTGCAGAACGACAATATTAACATTACATTTTTTTAAATATGATATAAAGTTCATATACTTTCAATGATCAATATTTCGACTATCTTTGGTCTGACCATGTTGTTATATAGATTTTGAAGCCTTGCTATTTCAGTTCAGAGCATTACGGAAATAAACTTACCAAAGCTGCCTCGACTATCTTTGGTGATGGTGCAAAGATAGATTCGAGAGAATTGAAGCAAGCTCTTTTTACTTCTGGACTTTTGTCAGAAGGTAAACTGATGAAACTTTCTAGAGCATTTTCACAAGTTGTTGAGTTCTCACTTGAGCAATATGGAATCTGGCACCAGTCATTTGTAATGCAGCTGTTCAAGAGTTCAACCCACAAAATCCTATAAAATATGAAATAACAAATGGTAGCACGGCTATTACAGAGAAGAATGAAAAATAATAAACCAGTCAAAATTTAGGAAACGCAATTATTAAATTGTGTAACTTATTATAGTTTCTATAAGTGGCAATTTAATGATTGTTTTGAGTTTTATGCTCAATTCTATTTGTTATACGTCATAAATAAAGAAGTTCATTTCCCCACATTTAGTTGAATAAATTGAACATACCTCCCATCTTTCTTTTGCTCAGCTGTGCATTCAGACTCACATCTTTTCCACACTGCTTCAATTTCTTCTTGACTTGAAATGGCCAACCAGCGTGAGAGTTTAGAAACAAGAGCTGGAGATTTATCATTGACAGGAAGCCTCACCAGCTGCAAGAAAGTTGCGGCAGCATCGAAGCCCTGGTTGTAGACAATGTTTGTTTCTTCCCACTCTTCCTCAAACATGATATTGTCTTCGTCAAATCGAGAGACATCCCCTAAATAGGCAAATAACAAAGTCTTGAATTTCTAGAACGTAGGCTGGCATGCCGCCATGTTCATACAGTCCGCTCATGTCGTCATTTTTTTATTCCAGTCTTTCCCCACCTAAACGCAAACCTATCCTAGATACAGTTTCTTTTTCAAAATGATTGCATCTATTGGAAAAATCAATGCATAATGATCAAATGGCTTATGGAACACTTACAATGGCTTCGATCTTGTGAGGTCATTCTTCGCGATGTTTTCATTGTGACTTCCTGCCTGATTCTGGTTTCAAGTGGTTCACCGGCCAATACAGTGCTCTGTATAAAGAAAATTATAAAAGTTGGTATTGAAAATATTGGATTATTTAACAAGTAGCGAAAAGTTTTTATTATTCATTTTATAATGGAAGGGATAATATAAGAATAAGAAATTTTGACGCGTTCACAAAAGTTGCAAATTCATTGGTTTAAAATACATTAACCCCCAAGTATCTTCAAAAAATAGTTTATTTACAAATGCAAATTTGCAGCCAAGAATATGTTCTTGTAAATAAAATAAAAACTTCTTAAAATTTTGAAATCGCTATTGAGGTATGGCATAATGTTTCACGTGCCTAAAACGAAGAACACTAAGGCTTGCGCAATAGTAACATCGTAAAAATAACTTACGGCAATTTCAGGTTTAATTGGGTTGAGTGGATATCGTTCTTCGCAAATTGCTGATTTTACTTGTCTCCCTCGTTGCAGTTGGTATCTACAAATTTGTTTTGCTCTCGCCCATCTTTCTTCATTGGTTATTGTGATCTGATTTAAATCAATAGCATGCTAATTATATCCTGATAAATGTAGTAGTTTATTCATGTGAGTAAAGCTAATGTAGAAATAAAATAAAAACGGAATAAAACTGCAAAAAAAAATTGAAAAAAAAATGAAAAAAATGAAAAATAAAAAAAGTTGACAACGATGGACCGTCTGCCGGCCAATCGTTGTCAACCGTTTTTATTTTAAAAAAAATTTGCTTCTGCGTTGGTTCCAAGCAGAGACTACGTTGGTCCCAAGCAGAGGCAACAGTTTGAAGAAAAAAAATGCTTGACAGCGATGGGCCAACGATGGCCTATCGTTGTCAACCTTATTTATTCTGGTTTTAGGAGCTTTTTTATTTATTTTGTTTCCATTTTTTTGCATTTCCATATTTTTTATTTCATTTTCTTTTTTTTATTTTTGCAAATTTTATTTCTTCAATTTTTATTTTGTTTTTTAGTCATATTTGGTGAGAGAGAAAAATGAAGCCCTACTTACGTAATTTTTAATTGCAGAAAAAATTGGATTGAGCCTGTTGTTACGCATTCGAATAAAGTTCCATTGTCTTCGTTCCCATGGCAACTCAATTTGTGACGTATCACGAGTGACTTCAACCGCGGTTGGAAATCCCGATGTTTTTTCGAGAATTTTGTGTTGAACAATTCCTTGACCGTATATGCTAACTTGCGGTACCTTAGTAAAATACAAGCAACAATAAAAAAGGCTTGAAATTTGCAGCAAATGAGCAAAATGAGCGCAATATCCCCTTGTAACAAATATAGGGTTGAAAACGTAAATTATGAAAATTATGAATATTTTTACAAATCAATACTTTTTGGAATTTTACATGATGTAGAATCAGAAAATGAAATAACCTAAAATGTACACAAAATTGATAAAAGATGTTTTGTTCATCCTAACCGCTATAAATGTTTTCTGGGAATAGTTTCAAAACATATTAACCAGACAACATTCAAATAAGTGATTAAGTTTTAGGCACTTACCTGATAGATGTCCCCGACGCTGAATTCTTTAGGAAGTTCAGGATTGTAAGCAAGGAGACTTGATAATATACCACGCTTGATGTTGGTGATGTTCGTTCTCTCTTGTTTGTCAATGAAGATTCTAGTGACCTGAACGTTTTTGTTGAGTTTTGTTATTTCCAGAAAATATTCGTTCACGTGGAATATTTATTAGAATTGTACTCTCGTGGACAAAGTTCCGGTTTTCAACACTCGTTGATTATACAAAATTTTCAAAAATAAGAAGAGCGAGATCAAAGTTCAAACGGTTACCATATTTTAGACAATATCAATAAAATTGTTATACATAAAAACTCGACTCCGTCAAAATAGCTCGATGGCCTTTGAGAATTTAGATTAAAAAGCATTATCATACATAATTGGAAAAATCTTAGAGTCATTTCACATTACTAAAAATGAAAAAATTTACTTGTCCGCCATTGAAGTGGAAAGCCATTTCACTGACTGCCATATCACGATCGAATGACGAAGATAATGGCGACGGGCTGTACTCGATGTTTCCCGCGGATGACATCGTCCCTGATTCCACTTGGCATTTTTTAATTCTCAGCTTGCCCGAGCAACGACGTGGAACGGTAATCTCGGCAATACAGCTGCATAATGTTTAAGTGTCGTCATAAATATTAGTTTGAAAATGCTGAATCTCGCCGTTAGTAAAAATACAGAAACGCATCGTATATTGGCATACACGAGAAAATTGAAGTATATTAACTAGTTTTTTTTAATTATACGAGTAGCAATTTCTATGAGAGCATAGGTATGAATAACTAGTATAGATGAATGATTCAATACAGAGAAGGTAAATGCAGTTACAGGTATAGTATATTTATGAATCATTAATTAACGTGAACAATTTTTTTAGGTGCGGATAGTAGGAAGTTTCATTTCTCCAAAGAAACTATATCTGATTGAAAAATAATATAAACAACTAAAGCTTCCATCACCAATCTGAATTTTTTAACCACAACCACGACTACTTAGGTATGATTAAAAATTATTTCAATGGCAAAGAGCAATAACGTACTTTATTTTTATGTCATTCCCACGACGGTTAAGTTCATCTCTGTGTTCCGTTATTGCTATGTATTGGTACGTGTAAAGAAAATCTTGATCGAATGGCTGTATCACTACAAAAGGAGTCAAAATTAATACAACCATAAAAACAGAAGCGATTATTTAATGTGAGGTCACCTGTTGAAAACAAATCGAAAAGAAACTTACTTCCACAAGGTCCTTCGGGCTGCGGAACAGACTCCCGACCTAAATTTAAAAGTTATGATTCAATTTGAAGAAAATAGGAAACACGACTTCTTGAATAAAATAAAAATATTCTAACATATTCATAAATATCTAACTGCCAATATATACTATAAGTATCATTTTACCTCGAATTCTTTTCCTGGCTGATGCATTACACACCAGCACGAGAAGGACAAAGACGAAAAGTTTCATCTTTGTTTCCAGTTTTTACGACAAATTCTTGAGTGATTTTTCGTTTTCAACTCCGTAAATTGTTTTCTTCTATCAGCATCAGACTACGGGGTGTGTGAGTCAATTCGAATATGCCTCCGATTTTATACTAATCGGGCGATGTCGACTTTGACCGTCTTTTTACGACGAAAACAGCGGTTCAGAACATTGGCGTCAACGAAAAACGCAGAGACAAAATGTCTGCCCGCAATTTGCACAATAGCGCCACCTGCGTTGGACTTTGCACTCCCGAAAGTCTGTCCTAGGGTGGCAAGCAATAGCTTGGGTTCATGTATTTGTACCATCTGTTGAAAAAAAATTGGGTTACGTACATGCAAGAACCAAATAGGGGGGTATATAATTTCAAACTTATCAATAAAATTATCAATAAAAAAAATTATCAAATAGAAACCATATCCGTCTCTTCAATCTGTATCAGGTTAATTTTCAGACAAACGTTAGGTAAAGCATTCTACTATTCGTTCAATTTTATACGACATTCATAATGAAGGTAGTCCACAGTAATTATATTTAATATTTTAACTTATTCCACTTTTCACCATACACTAAATATAGCTGACAAAATCTGACAAAAAAGGGGGAAATGACAATTAATACTACACTTCGCATAATTCATTTAATATTGCAACAATTAATCCCGAAAAGCGAGCATATACATACAGTTCAATTTAAAGAGATGAATGATGTGATGTCTCTGATAGTGCTTTGAAAAGGTATTATTTTAAAAACCAACAAATCATTCATAGATAGAAATACTGTCTAAAGATTATTTATTAAAGCATATGGCAGCATAAACTGTTATCTAAATGTTAGGTTTTAACGTTCGAATGAAAAATATTGCACTTAGTTGAACAAGCTCATTTAAATACATGTCATATATTAGGATTTACATATTTATCCCTGGGAAGGTAAAGCCGACAAGACCTCTTAATAATATGTTAAACCACGGCCCCGTCCGGTTGGCAGTCCATGTCGGGTATGGGATTAGTTAGCCAGTTATTTTGTTTTCAGATAAATGAACTTGATGGTGGAGAAAGCATTAACCGACCAGTGGTTACGGGGACTCCAGCAATCCTCTCACACATAATTCTTTCCCACGGGATCAGAACCTGTAAACCAGTGCAGGGTAATCCGAGCTGTTGTGGCAAGCGTATTCCTAACGGTCAGCACGATGTGCCGCTGTTCATGTCAAAATAGATTTGATGTATTTTTTATTTTTCCGATTACAACCGAAAATTGGAACAGTTGCAAACTACAATAAAATTCCCGTCATGAATGAGCATTATAATCGCACTCAATAAAGCCAATTGCTTGTCCATTTCAGCCACTAGAACTGAACTTTGATCCGGACTGCACGCTGGACAATCATTTATTTATACAATAAATTTTCTAACATATATATATGCCTTTAAAAGCCATTAAAAATCACAGAAAGACAAAAATCATTTTTTGGTATGTGAAGACGCAAGTGCCACTAAAAGATGGTCAAATTCACAAGTGCAATTATCGTTTATATTATTTGAATGTTTGTATTCCCTTCTGTTGATTAGAGTCAAAGTAAATTTGCCGCGTTCTGTAATTTTGCCAAAATTACCAATGAAAAAGAAAAACATACAAAATTCCCTTCATATATATGGGCCAATGATTACGCATGTGCAATTAATAGTTTCAATAATGCCAATTGCTTGTACATTTTTGTCACTAGAGTTGAACTTTGAGACGAGCTATACGTTGGACATTTATTTCATGATTTATTTAATCATAACAAGTTTTCTAATACGCAAAAACCTTCTTACGAATCATATTATGTGAAGACATATGAAGGGTTAAATATGCTAAATATTCCAAATGCTTTTTTTAATTTTTTAATACTGACTTTGAATAATTTCGAGCAAAATTATACATATAATGTTCATTATTGAAGGATAATTTTATTATTATTTTGTTATGTTGGTGCACGGCGATGACCAACGAGTTGTTGATAGCGATCACAATATTACAATCGGAAATATTTCTTCCACAAAGTATACCAAGTATGGACTATTGAAGTTATGTGTCTACAATGTGGTAAATCATCAATGATGCGTTCGTGACAAAATAAGTTGGATCGTTCTATTGGAGTCTATCATATTTTAGTATTTATCATATTGCGAGAACATTGAAGCACCACCAAGCACACTCTAGCATTGAAAGCAAATTACTCAATCGGAGTTAAAGTAGATGAATCAATGAAGTTCTGCAATTTCGTTCAATGATTACGCCATACCCAAACGCATGCATGTAAAACAATAAACTTGACTAATATATTTACATGTGGGCGACAGGCAGATCGAGTCGTCGGCGGGATTGTGTCATGAAGCAATTTAAACAAACACTCCCTCGTCGTTTACTAATTTTGATGCTGTGAAAATCAATATATTCTCACACCACAGGCGACAAAATGTCGTTTGTAGTTTTAGTCTTTGTTGTGGATGCAATACGTTAGTCTACCTTGCGTGGAACACGAATTAATTAAGTTCAACACGCAAATGACTTATGTTTCGTATACATCAGCTATTTGACCTGTTTCTATATTCATTAACTGACGCGAATTGGCAAATTCTTGTTGATTTTTTGGCGACATTGTTCCATCTGTCTGTTTGTGAGTCAGGTGACATCAGGAAACAAACAAAAAATTATATAACTTTGAGACAGCAGTCTCTTGATTATCAAACAGTCAAGTTTACTGAAAAACAAATTTTTGCCCTACTAATTATCTTATTGCAGTAAAATTTTCTTACTGTTTTTTCTAAATGCTGAAACCTAAGTAAAGTATCACAGCGGTATATGGCGCAGGTCATAAATCTTTAAAACCTCAAACGTCCAAATCTTTTCAACTGACTTCTTGCCACATTTAATGCTAATTATGGTGCCAGAAATGTAACTGTTCTCTTAGCATATTCTGTCCCTAATATAAAATTTAATATTGTTTAATCAAATTCATTCTGCAATTGCAACTTTGGAAAGTAATTTTCACACTTCTTTTTTACCAAAACAGATAATTGTGATTCCCCCAATAAAATAACCACGGTGATAAATCTAAATAAGCAATCACCTGTACCTAAAATCTGTGTTTATTATATTAATAAATATGAGTAATTAACGTACACCTGAGAAACCACTGAAAAATCTCATATCACAAACATCAATACCAACATTTACATAGGATAACGACTGTCATTGATCTAAGGATAAATAGTAGTGACGAATGAAAATGCTTATGAAAAAAAACAACTTATTGGAATTAGTTAGTTTATATGCGTGCATTATAAGTACTACATACTTATATAGAAATATGAAAAGCAATAATGATAAACTAGTTATTTATTGTGGGTTATAATTGGTGGATTTAGGCAAAAACGAGTTGTGACTCGATTATTTAGTAGGGCTAGAATGAAACCACGAGCAAACTTATACAGAAGAGTTTTCTCTTGGGATGTGGAACTTTATATTACGTGGTTTATACTTAGAATAAGATTTATCGTTGTGAATATTACATGTTACTTTCTGAAGACGACGTTGAACTTGGTGTTTGTCGATTCACATTCACCCAATTGAAGTCTTCTCGGAATTCAAATTTGTAAGACGTAAACAACAGCCGGTACAAGTATTTCCGAATGCCCACAGTCAAGCATGATACGCACCTTGTCTTGTGTATGTATCATGATTTCAAATTGACACGCTTGGCAACATGTTGAAATAAATGAGAATTCCGTGCACTGAAATTCTAAGAAAACTGAACCAGCATTTCAGGAAGCATTTGGTTGCAAGTTCTGCACACGATAAGATTTTCTAGGAACGTTTGTAATTGCAAATGTATGCTGGATGATGAAAGTCAATGCAGCACACCGCACGAACTGAATAGTAATTGACTTCGGCATTATTCGGCAACAAAAAAATGTGTTGTAAAACTTCATCCCAAGCAGAAATATTCAACTAAGTTTATATTTGAACGCACATGCAATGCTTATTAGACAAAGATAATGTTCGAATACTTAATAGTGGGAACTGTTTCGCTGTAATTTCAAATTGGCTTTCTGAATAAAAATTATGAACCATGCAAACCACTCCTACATAATTTCTAAAAAGCCTTAATTTGTGTTCACTTTATTCAGTCGATTAAATTGTCATTCAATCATCATACAAGGTTGGTAGCATCAAGAACTTTAGTTTGAGTGAAAACACTGAGATTATGATCATTAGATTCAAATCTCGGATTTCATAGTCTTGCATTCTGGAATGTAATCAATGTCTGATTAGGCGATGAATAAAATAGTGTTGTTCAATTCATATATTTAACATCCTCATTTCCATACTCGTATGTGACAATGTATAGCAGATTGATATTTGTAAATTGTTCACATGGTGTCGCTAGCGGTTCGTTCTACAAATATTTGCCTATTTTGACATTTGGATATTTTGCACTTTTGTTCAACTGCATTTTCGTTTTTACCTGTAATGGGTGGTAACGGAAATAATTCGTCATGTATTTTCTCTAGTATCGAAATTACGCAAATCAACTGTAGTCAACGCCGGATCAAAGGCGGCGAGGGTTGCATCCCCAGGGCCCAAAACAGGCCCAACGATTCCAGCCTAGTAGTAGAGAGAGAGACTACGGTAATCGATTTTTTTCCTACAAAACTGGTAGTAAAATATTCTCAATTCCGCCCATACCTGATTCAGTTACAGATTTATTTCACTACTTATTTTAGCCGTATATGGGCCATGCTGACACAAACAGCACTTGCCTTAATTGGATCGTATGTCATCTGTTGTAGCCTACTGTTCATAATGCAAGTACGTTTCTACGACGCAGGGGGTTGTCAAAATCTTATTTGCATGAACTCCTAATTTAGGCCGAAATTATATATATACTTGAACTGAGCTTAATAAAGTTTGTTTGAAATTTGTTCATCTGTAACTTTTTCATTGTTACTCAAATCTCAAAAATATACACACACCAGATGAATATGCGCTGATTGGATATTCGCTCGAGCCCGCTCGTAGGAGCGACTTATGGGC